CCTCCCACGAACCAGCGCCCCTTCCGCGGGCCCCACCTGGAAAGCTTAGCCTCCACCGGAGAGAGCATCTGGAAGGGCAGGCGGGAGATCACGACTGAATCAGCACGACTGTGTCTAGATGATAATTGCTTTGCCACGAACTGGGAGAGCGTGCGTGTTGTTAGTGATCATTGTTACCCGGACACATTTCTGGGCCAGTCATGATAGTGCGCGTGACGGCCCCTGGAGGCTGAGAACTATATTCCAAATAAAGGGTTTCCACGCTGGGCGAGAATGCTTACTGGCCGCTTTTCTGGATAAAGTCTGTGGTCCCTGCGAGCTCTTCTGACGGAAGCACCATTGACACCCAGGTTGAGAACCGTGGCGTTGGTGTGACCGGGGCCTCCGCTTCCGTCCTGGATGAATGGCAGATATTTAAAAATAATCAACATGTCATATTCTATTTTTCATGTCACGCGTGTGTGCTCGCATATGACACATCGCATGACACGTTACTTTGCCTCTTAAGCCTTAGCACAGTGAGCCCAATTCAATATCTTCACTATTTATCATAAGCACCAATTAATATAAACGGACACCTTCGAGGAATAGCCGGGCCTCTCTGCCAGTGCTAGTGAAATGCCCAGCACCACCCTCATTACAGAAGTTATTTTTTCTTTAATTAATTTCATTATATTAGCTGTCGTCCCAATTTCCCACCGATACAGCTCGTATGTCACAGTTTACAAGCCCAGATCCCCAAATAACCACGTAGTTACTGATTTAAGCACTTGGAGAAAAGGTGGGAAGGTCTAGAGTTTATTTGGTACAATGTCAGGTTTGGTGATGTCTATTTTAATTGGGAATAGAATTTTCCACTGAACTTTGTGTTCAAGTCCGAGAAGCCCAAGTTATCCATAAACCTCTTGGCTTCTGACCTAGACAAATGGGATGTTAAACTGTTATAAAAAGGAGAGAAGATCTTAGGCAGAAAAGAGCAATGGAGTAGGAATCTGGTATCTGTATTCAGTGTTATTTGTCTGAGGCTGAAATGAAGGAAAAATGGGCGATATCTCATATTTCTCTAATTTACGAGAGATGTAAATCCCCGGCCCTGCACTGGTCTTCTGGTTCCTTCTTTATTCCTCCAGTAGACATGGCGCCCAATGCAGGGATACCCTGGCCTCGTAAACTCCTACTTCAGTGGGTGAGGCAGACGGATGGCCTTGCCCCACCAATGCTGGCCTGCAGCCCCCGGAAAGGGGAGACTCACCCCGAGACTCCAGAGCAGCGACAGACCCGATTGCCCCTCCAGGGTGCAGACATGCAGGCCCGACGCCCACCAGACTGGATGGGCCACCGGCAGCCGCAGCAGGTTCACTGTGGGTGTGCGGAGAGCACGGTATGCACACAGCGTCCCCAGGGCTGCTGCCCACGTCCGAGCCTGGCCAGCAGCGGTTCCTCCGTGTGAACACGCGTGTGAGTGCAGACACGGTCATACGTGAACAATCATCCAGCACAAAGCCCCCTTTCCTCACCGCAGGAGAGGCACGTGATGCTGCTTCTCTGCAGTCGGCACAGTCTGACCCCCTCTGGGGCCTGAAGCCTGAAGCCCCACCTCCAGGGCCCCGTCTCTCTCCGCCCTTCGACGGTCGCACACCTCAGCGGTGGTCCCAGGTGTTTCCTGCCTCCGCAGGCCTCCCTGCTTCCGTCCAGGTCCGCCCGGGCCCTGATCTTCTTGGGCATTCGGCTCCCCCTAAAAAAGGTCCCGTGATATTTAATCTTACAAAATACATGAAGGACTGTGACTGCAGAGCTACCACCCAGCGGACACAGACGTTAGTGTGGATCACCCTAACCCTCAGCTGGGCTTTGAGGCTCCCCCCACCTCCCCTCTCTGCTCCCCCTTCACCTGCCTCCATCTCTCCCTCACCTCCCCACTCTGTTCCCCCCACCTCTTCCCCTACTGCCCCCCCTCCCTTCCTCCCTCACGTCTCCCTTCCCTCCCCTCACTACTTCTCCCCCTGCTCCCTGCTCAGCTCTGCTTTCAGCAGCAGGAGACCAGACTTTGGGCCCCATAAAGAGAAGACACGTGCATTTCCTGGTGCTCCTTCTGTCCATGGACCACGTGGCCACGCAGGCTGGCGAGAGCAGACCTGTGGCCAGGCCCACCGTGGCCACGATCGCTGTCACCTCGTCACCTTCCTCCCTCCTAGAGAACTTCCTCTCCCTTAGCTCAGACCAAGGAAGAACATGGCAATTATGAAAAACTCCGTGGACAGCGGAGACAATGTCTTCCGCGATGAGACGAGGGTGTGACTGTTGGCTCTGCCATCCCGCTCCAGAAAGGGGCGCAGGCTGGTGGCCCCAGTGCCTGCAAGCCCACGGGGGTTCTGTCCCAGTTTCCTCCCGCAGGCAGGCTTTGCCCTGCAGGCAAGCGTCACGGCCACACCTAGACTCACAGGAACATCTTCCCTTCCCTTAAAATGAGCACTTTCTCCTTTATACCTATGGGCAGCCAAAGCCGGGGGACGGGCGAGTGCCCCGTGCTGCCGCGTACGGGCCCCGACGGCGTGCCTTGCCCCGGGAAGGCTCCTCCGCTGGCTCTTCCCCACTCAGTCCTCACACCCGTGTCAACCCCCCACGGCGGCCTCCTCCGGCCACAGACACAGTCTGACCCTCTCCTCCCAGGGTGCGCTTCCGAGTGGGTCCCGACCCGCTTGCCGTCACTGTGCCTACCCCCCCACCCCCAGTGCTTTTCCCAGGCAGACAGAACCATCGGGTCCTATCCGGACCTGTAAGTCCGAAAGGCGCAGAGTGAAAGAGATTTCAGAGGCTCCAGATGAACTTTTATTCGGTGGAGAAAACATTTCATGCTGCATCCGGTTTCTCAACAACATTTTAGCAGGAAGACAGACACTTAGAAAAGGCACCAGAGCCAGTGGCAGCATGAGTAGCCCAGAGTCCCATTAGGCCGCATCCTTCACCGCGTCCGGCACCTCGCGGGAGGATAACTGAGTGGCCTTCTGGGTTCCATGGTGAGGGGAAACCCAAGTTTGCAGACCGGCCTCAAGAGCCGAATTTCCAGGTCTACCCGTGGCCTGGACCTGCGGAGCGGGGAGAAGGCCAGGCTCCCAGCCCCCGGGTGCTGCTCCCCCAGGAAATGAGTCTCTAACTGGAACACCAGCCTGTCTCTTGTGACGGGCTTGTCTCCCCCGCTGGGGTTGGAGAGCGCCAGAAACTGGGCCGTGCTCAGTCGGTTTGTCCCACTCCGTGTTTCCCACACGGCTTCGGTGAAATGGCAGCGGACCAGAGTCTCACGAGGGTTTCAAGATCACAGCAGCTTGGGCAAGATGGCTTGTTTCTCAGAGCTAGAAAGAGAGGAAACACGTTCAGCTGCGTTTCATCCAACTTGAATATTTTGACTCTGGATCTCCTCCCCCTGCAACACACACACACGCACGCACACGCACGCACACACACGCACGCACACACACGCACACACACCCACACACCCACACGCACACACCCACGCACGCACACTCTCTCGGCTCTAATACCTCTTGATGTCGTTGAACGTAGTTTGAAAACGTGCGGTAAACGGCGACGACGGACTTTCTCCATCGCCACCCAGATCTGCAATTCCGTGCGCTCCTCCGGCCACAGCGGCACCAGCACTGACGGGGGCCGTTCGGCTGCTGGCGTTGCTTGTGTTCACGCCACGTCGGACACAATTTTGGAGCTGCCGCCCCAGCCTGTTCGCTGTGTCAGGACCAGACGCCAGCCAGACATGACGGTTGGCTTCAGATTCGGAAACAAGGTCGTGGGGGACGAGGTGTCTCCTCCGCTCCTTGACTCTTCCACTTTCGAGTCCGGAGAAGGAGGCGGGTGAGCGAGCAGGACGGCCTCCCCGCCTCCCCGCCTCCCCACCTCCCTCCTTCCCGCCCGCTTCCACTCTGGTCAGACCAGCCTCACGGAAAATACGGTACAAAAGTTTATTTACTGATTGATCAAAATCTCTCCGAACCACAGAATTTCCACTGAATACGTGATGTGTGCCTCCTTAGACGATGAAATAGGCATGAAGAGCCCTAACATTGTCGGAGGAACAAGTCACATTTGATCTTAGCCAAAAGGCCGAGAAGCGATCGGAGAAACAAGTCAAATGGCCTGAACTCGGAATTTCTGATGAGCACGTTGTTTAGGGCTTTGGAAGACGCGACGTCTCCCCCAAGAAGCTTTGACTTTATTACTTTTTTCCCTCTAGGTCGTAAGGGAACATGCCCCATCATCAGTTCTGATTTTCTCAAAAACGATCTTATTTTCTGTCCTCAAAAGCTCAGAAAAATGTCAAATATGCCCTTTCTGTGTATGTTGCAAACTGTGAGGCTCAATCTTCAATCCCTGTTTTTGCAGAATGAGTCTCTAAAATGTCAGATTTTTCTGAACTATTTTTCTTGCAAGTTACCACGTGTTTGAGTGAACCTCCGGCCACTGGGGCTATAGGGCAGTTGCTGGTGGCCGTCACAGGTGTCTGGTCAAAGCTCCTTGAGCTTCTCAGGCCAGTAGGAACCCTGCCAGTCACACTGACGCCAGCGTCTCATGTCTTTTTTGCACGTTCAAATTCATCTAACTATAGAAAACTTGATGTTTGCTTTCTCTAGAGAACGTTCCTGTTTTAGGCTGAGAGGATCCACTGTACCTCCAAGTCCAGAGCAGGGCGGCCCTCAGGAGTAGGGGCGGTCGGAGCTGCTGACATTTGGAACAGGTCTCTACGAGGACGAAGTAGGCAGGTGACGGCTGGATAGACGGAACACACAGGGAGGGCGGGTCTGTTTTCGCAGGGGTAGCCGAGATGCAGGCATCTGGTGAGACCGCCTGGTGTGTGGGAAAGGCACAGACCCAACGGCGGGCCGTGGGACGTGGAGTCTTTTATGGGAAAGCTCCCCTACAGGGCACCCCCCCGCCCACCCACTAACGTGGTCCTGATCCTCGATTTCTAGAAAAGGACACCGTACTTTATGGCAGAGGACAGAGCTCCGGGGCCCGCCGGGAAGCCGCTGGTGTTTCGCGTTGACGACAGCACCCCGGAAGTGGTGCAGAGCGTCCTGCTGGAGCAGGGGTGGGACAAGTTCGAGCAGGGGGGGCAGGACGTGGAAGGCTGGAACCTGTACTGGAGGACCTCCTCCTTCCGCATGGCCGAGCACGCCAACATCAAACCCTGGCAACATCTCAACCACCACCCGGGCACCAGCAGGCTCACCAGGAAGGACCACCTGGCCAAACAGCTGAGGCACATGAAGAAGACGTACGGCGCGGCCCTGGACGAGTTCATCCCCCTGACGTTCGTGATGCCCAACGACTACAGCAAGTTCGTGGCCGAGTACTTCAGGGGGAAGCACGGGGCGGGCGGCGCGCGGAGCTGCTGGACCTGCAAGCCAGCGGAGCGCTCCCGCGGGAGGGGCATCCTCGTCTTCAGGGACATCAAAGACTTAGTCTTCGACGACACCTACGTCGTGCAGAAATACATCTGCAACCCTCTGCTCGTGGGCAGGGACCAATGCGACCTCCGCGTCTACGTGTGCGTCACCGGCTTCCAGCCTCTGACCGTTTACACCTACCAGGAGGGGTTAGCGCGGTTCGCCACGGAGACGTTCGACCTCGGGAACCTGCAGAACAGCCACGCGCATCCGACCAACAGCGGCATCAATAAGTGCGGCGCCCCCTACGGGAAGGTCAAGGCAGTGGTCGGCCACGGCTGCAAGTGGACCCTCAGCAGGTTCTTCTCCTACCCTCGCAGCTGGGACGTGGACGACCTGCTCCTGTGGCAGAAGATCAGCCACGTGGTGATCCTCACGGTGCTCGCCCTCGCGCCCTCGGCGCCCGTCAGGCCAGCTGCTTCGAGCTCTTTGGCTTTGGTACTTTGGTCGACGACAACCTGAAACCATGGCTTCTGGAGGCCAACTTCAGCCCCGCCCTGTCCATAGACTGCTCGGCGGACGCTTCCGTGCAGAGGAAACTTATCCATGACAGCATCGAGCTGACTGGCTCACGCGGCCCAGGAGACGAGAGGGCAGAACGGCGTGAAGGTGTCAAGGGGAGACGCGGCGGCCCCTGGCCCAGCCGCACGCGGCGGACTCAACGAGCCTGGCGGCACGCGCTCCCCCGAGGCCCTCTTACGGCGGACGGCTAGAGCTTTGGAGGATGAATGTGCCGTGAAGAAAGACCTACAAATATGCCCTGAAAATAAACATGCGTCCCAGCGGAGGGACATGGTGAGCGGGAGGAAGGACCCACTTCCGTCCACAAAAGAACCCCAGCACCAAGCCAAAGCCAACGGGCAGACTCGGCCTATCCTAAGACGCCGCTTCCATCCATGTCGCTCATTCAGTCGCGCGTGGGCAAGACCAGCGTCTCCCCGTGCGTCCCCTCGGACAGCAGCGAGGGGCCGGGTCTCCAAGCAGAGAATTTCGTGCTCATTTTTCCTCTCAATGAAGCGACTTACGGAGCCTCTAGGAATGAATTAAATGTCAGAAGAATCACCCAAGAGCTCCGGAAACTCATGAATAAGCAGCATCCCCACGTGGTGGACATGGAAGCAAATAGAAGGTGATGGGCTTTGAAGGAAACCAGGGATGCCTCCACCGGGGACGGGGACGGCAATGACTCAGCCCTAGACCTCTGCACTCAGCACATCGACCACCTCCCCGGGGCCCCCGGTGGGGGTGCGTATGTAAATGGAAGGTCTCCGCAAAGTCAGACACATGCGGGCGGGGATTAAACTACGTGATATGACTGGTTTATTTGGTCTGGTTTCTTGGGATAATACAACCCTGCCTCTTGCCTGCGCTTGGAAATGCGTCACCTCAATGACACTACACGCTTGTGTAACCGACACAAGATTATTACAATATTTTTTAAGGACTCTTATGTGAAAACAGTACCATAAAAGGGTCAAGCCTTAACTTGTTTTTTAACATACCATTTTTTGTTCAAAATTGTTTTTGTCAACTTAATGATGAAACAGTCGTCTGGGTGAGGCCAATTGCTGAAAACCTCCCCCCAAAATACCCAAACAACTCTGTCATTCCTCAGTCCCGGGCCCTAACTAGACACTGTGCCACGTAGCTTCCCACTGAGGACACCCATCGACCATACCCAGAAGGTGGCCGCCTCTCGGTGGGTCCCCTCGCTGAGAGGTCACCATCCTGCATGCGACCGCAGAACCTTCCAGACGCACCATGTTACCACTCCTGCCTCATAAGAAAGCAGTGACGAGTCCTAAGACACAAAGTCTCCAGCATTGACTTGAAAACATTATGCGGAGTGAAGAAAATCCAGACACCAGAGGCCACATGTCGTAGCATTTCCTTTACAGGGAACGCCGCGGGTCGGCAAACCCACAGACACAGAACACAGACCAGTGTTGGCAGGGCCCAGAGGGGTGGGCAGGGGAGCGACTGCGAGTGCGTAGGGGGTTTCCTTTTGGAAGACAAGAATGTTCTGGAGATGGTTGTGCAACACTGTGAGTGTCGAGTGTCACTCATGGTAGGTTTCACGTTAAGCTTATGTTACCACAATCAAAGGTTAGAGCAGAACGAGTTAAGTCGGGCTGGCTGGAACTAGAGACCGGGGACGCGGGACAAGGTGGGTGACAGAACGCGGGAGGTACCAGCATACGGTTACGATTACGAGCTGGGATCGCACGTGCGGCGCCCCTCCGTGGCTAATGAAATCTGAGCGCTTGATCGCAGCGGTTCAGAAAAAAGGGGGAGAGAGAATTCGGCACTCTTGACACGAGGCCCACGTGCCCATTGTGTCCCTGGCCCGGCTTCCGGCGTGAGAGCACTTACTTGCTCCCAGCCTCGTTCCAGGAAGGGCTGAAGGGAACGCGGGGGAACGTGAGTGAACCACGGTTGTTTGGATCTTTCGTGTGAGTACTTGGCAAAGAACAGGTTCTTTCTACAAGGGTTGAGGTGTGCTCCAAGACCAGACCCGGAGGCTGGCATCACTGGAAAACCTCCATGTCTTCAAATACTCTCCCTTCACCGCCAGCCGGGTGTTACGACCCCGCCAGGACGACGAACGCCGCAGAGAGGCATGAGCGTGTGCTGTGAAGGAAAGATGGTTTTACTGGAGCGTTGGAAGTTTTACGGCAAGAGCCTTGAGCCACCGGTCGGGAAAAACATGCCACTTCTGGGAAGTTTATCTCTTAAATGGCAAAAGGTGAGCCAATTAAGCCAAAATCATGGTGGGTTAATGTAAGCCTCAAACGGGCCAGGAAACTGTACGAACGCGGAATTTGCATGCCGGGACGCAGTTGTGGGAGGGACGTGGAGGGACACACAGACGCAGTCTTCTCAGGCAGAAAGGTCAAAACTACAGAGACCAGAGACTTCCAGGAGACGTGGGAGCTCTTCAAGGAAACCCCCAGACTTGCATTTGGGGGAAAATGGAATAGGCTGCATTTCCTCGTCCTTTCGCTAAGTACAGCTGAAGACTTGGCCGGCACAAACAGACCAACGTAAGGGGTCGCTGAGGGGAGAAGAAGTCAGTGCCGCCCGGGGCCCCAAGAAAAACAGTGTTGGGTTTTCTGGCTTTGGGGATTTGGGTGTTTTGAGTTTGTTTGTTTGTTTGTTTGTTTGTTGGCCTCATACCCACGCGCGGGGCTGAGGGAGCTGACAAGGCACATGGACACAAAGAACCGAGCCTCCTCGCCGAGCGAAGGACCCGGCCCGCAGATGGGATCACGGGCCCTGAGAACGCTCCCAGGGAGCGGGACCCTCCTGCCGCTGAAGGGGAGAGTCTTGCGTCATTTCCAACCTGGGTCCGATCTCCCCTGGACTCAGGGTTAGACGAAGCCAACAGCAGGGCCACAGGAAGCCAGGATGAGAATCTTAGGGAAGGAACGGGGAAGGACGCGTGGTCCAGGGACACTGGGGTCACCCTGGGCCGCAAGGCTTGTGGGTGTGGGGGGGACGCCCCCCGAGTGGGTGGAGCCTGAGCCCGAAAGTGCGGGGTGGCAGGGGCAGGCGGGCAGCAGGTGCACAGCGGCCCACGGGCAGGAAACAGACCCAGCGGGGCACAACTGGGCTGCAGCCCGCCACCCTCGTGGGCATGCAGGGGTCCGGCGGACACAGGCGGAAGGAGGGCAGCCCCCCACGCAGTGTCTTCAAAACCTGCCCTTCAAGACCCCTCTCGTCTGTTGAGCGGACTCACCCTGTCCATCTGCAGATGTGTGCGATGACGGCATGGCCCCCCCAGGAGAAGGCTCGGCCTGGGCGTCTCCACACCCCTGCAGGGTGCACCCATCAGGAAGGGACGGTGGGAGGTAAGCCACATCCCCGCGTCCTCTGCTGAGATGCTGATGTGCCCAAGCAGGCTACCATCTGCAGTCACTGTCCATTCCAGTCCCCGCTGGGGCTAGTGTCTGCAGGGCCTCTGCGAGGGGACAATGCACTAGACGGGGTAGTGGAGGGATGGAGGGGGGTTACTGGCTCAGGCGGGAACGGACGGGCCGCTGCGTTCCCTGCTGGATGCCACCCTCCCCTGGCTCGGCTCTGACATCAGTCTGACATCTCATCTCAGGATCAGATGCTAAAGAGAAACCTTCTCTCTCTCTCTGAAAACTCCAGGGACAACCCTGGCCCACGTTGCCCACGATGACAGGGCAGGTCTAGGGCACATGGCTATCCTTTATCCCAGAGAATGGGGATTCAGATTCACCCCTGGGGGCTCCCAGAGCCCCGGAGAGCAGGAAGACTTTCCTTGAGGAAAGCAGGAGGTACAGTTCTCGGAAGAAGGGGTGCTTGGCAGACACAGGCATGGTTTGCCTGTGAAAATGGAAGGGGGTAGTCCCTGAGGCCTCGATGCTACCTAAGGCCGCAGGTGGATACTGGAAGTCGGGCAGCATCTGCCGCAGGAGAAAGTTACAGATGCACTGGCCTAGGATTCCACCCTCGGTCCGGAAAAGACGGAAGCAAGAACACAGACAGCAGCGGCTGGCAGCACAGGCGAGGGCTCCACAAGTGGTCACTGCCCTCCTTTCTGGACCCTCCCACCTCGTGGGCTGGCCACCATGTTCACCCACAGCCACTCCCGGAGGACGGCACTGGGCTTCAGGAACCTTGTCCCCTCAGAGAAGGAGGAGCCCAGCAGACGCCGCTCCCCGGGAGTGTGAGTGCGTGCGGAGCTCGGAGCCGGGCCTTCCCAGCCATCGGCCTGTGGGGAAGGGTGCCTGTCGGCCCCGGGGAGCCGTGCAGAACTGATCAGTGCCTTAATGGGGGTGAGCGGACATTCCCAAGACCCGCATAGTCACCTCCTGTCCCACTTATGAGCTAGAAAACTGCAAGGGAGTCTGGTGATGAGGGTCCTGGGCAGTGGGGCTGGCCCGGAGTTGGGGGGGGAGCTGGCTCTGTGCACCGCCACAGTAGCTGGCCACGGGGGTCACAGCCATGGGGCCTGGCCACGGGGGTCACAGCCAAGAGGCCTGGCCACGGGGGTCACAGCCATGGGGCCTGGCCACGGGGGTCATAGCCATGAGGCCTGGCCACGGGGCCCTGGCTATGGTGTGCTGCTGCCTTGCAGAAGCACGGAAGGGCCCCGAAGCCCACACCCAAGCAGACGGCACCCAGGTTGAACAAGCAAAGGGCGCCCGAGCTTTCCAAGGGCAGACAGGAAGAGGTCGGGGTCTGGCCTGTGCGGTGGGAAGGAACGCAGGTGTCATGAGGAGTGTGTCCCCCCTTCCTCCTCCCCAGCGCAGCGTCCCAAAATAGAGCACATGATTCACTAGCAAGAAATTTAAGTTCTAAAATAACTCAATATTATTGTCATTAAAAATCTGACTTGGGGTCGGTTTGGTGACTGTTCTGTCATCAAGCCTGTACTTCCTACAAAAGCTGGACCCCGTCAAGGCTGACAGGGACTTTTTTCAGGTTCGTGAAGAGGTTTCTGTTTTATTTTGTTTTTCCAAGCATTTTCACGTAGCTCTCTGCTGACTGGCATCCAGAGAGCTGGAAGGTGCCCAGGCGGTAGCACAGACCCAGGCCCCCGGTGCTCCCAGGCGGGGGCTCCCAGGCCGCGTGAGGCCACCTCCCTCAGCCGGGGGGTGCGACCTGCTAGAACTTTCAGTATCAGTCTTGCATTTATTTTAACCAAACCCCTCCCTGTCAGTTTTTCTTTAAAAAAATAAATAAAATCTATAAATCCAAAGCAAGTAAAGGAAACAAATTTGCCGGGATCGCGTTTCTAATAGCAGTGCTGGTGCTGCGCAGACCACGTTTTTCATTCCTCGTGTCCCAGGTCTGGAAACGCGCACCGTCCGCAGACTGCATGGTTCCGGGGGGGACTTGCCTGGCATCTTCTGGTGCCGAGGGAAGTGTCTCAGGAGGGAGTGTTCTTGTTCCTGAGAGCCCTGGGGTGACGTGAGCCGAGCAGAGAAGGACAGTTATCATGTGGGGTCACTCGTGTGCAGAACATAAGAAACAGCGTGGAGGACCACAGGGGATGGAGGGGAGACGGAGGGGAAGAAGTCAGAGAGGGAGACAACCCATGAGAGGCTCCTAATCATAGGGGACAGACTGAGGGGGGCTGGGAGGGAGGGGGTGGGGGTGGGGCAGCTGGGGGCGTGCGTTCAGGAGTCACACGATGAGCACGGGGTGTTCCATAAGCCGATGAATCACTGAACATCATATCTGAAGCTGATGCTGTGCCATATGCTGGCTAATTGAATTAAAATTAAAAAATGAAACATTGTACTAAAAATAAAATCCGTGGGGCACATCCCGTGGAGCAAGTCGCCTGGAGAGGAGACAGGTTTGGGGCGATGGGTCCATGCAGGGCTGCAAGTGACAAGGTTCCGTGATGTCCAGGTGTGCGAGAGCCCCTGGCAGGCTGAGGGGTGTTTCATCCGTCCTGTGTGTCGCCAGTCCCGGGCTGTCACGAGGGGACGGTGGGCTCTCGGCGGAGATCCGCTGCAGGGAGGACAGCACCCAGCATCCTGCCACCGCACACATGGCACCATCAGCAGAAACCTAGCCACCGAGGGACAGGGACGCCACAGAGCTTCTCACTAGAGGCAGGTGACCACCAAGCGAGGGACAGAACTAAGGACATTTTTAGCTTCCTAAATTCGCCCCACTTCATCAGAAACTTTCGCACGGAGAGAACACTGTTGGGTGGTATCCACGGGAGGCAGCGATGTCCCCCAGAGACGTCTGCACCCTAATCCAGGGGCCTGTGTGGTTGTCACCTCATGCAGCAAAGGGCTGGTAATGGGAGCAGAGTCCGGGAGACGTGACAATTCTGCGTCACTGGCTCTGGGGGCAGAGGAAGGGCTCCATGGCCCAGGACAGGCGGGCGGTAGCAGCTGGCAGGAGGGAGGGAGCGGGTCCCTCCCCGAGAGCCCCCAGCTGGGACGGGGCCCTGCCAGCCCACCTCAGAATCCCAACTTCCAAACTAGAAGCCACTGTGGCTAGAGATTTGTTTCGGCAACAGGAGACTAAGGGCTGAGTTCTAAATAAGAAGACACAGACTAACACAACACGGGCTAGCGCGGTTGTTTAATGGAAGCATAAAAAACAAGGTCAGTTCACATAGCGTACATAGGAGGCGGTCGGCTTGGCTCCCCGCAGACTCCCGGTCTCTCCGGCTCAGGGTTAGCGCCGGCTGATTGGCAGCCTGCGTACCTGTGAGAGCGTGCACATCCCCGCGGCACAGGTGTGGGTCCCCGCGGCACAGGTGTGGGTCCCTGAGGCATAGGTGTGTGTCCCTGAGGCATAGGTGTGTCCCTGAGGCACAGGTGTGGGTCCCCGCGGCACAGGTGTGGGTCCCTACTGTACAGCATGCACGGAGCTCAGGGCCACAGATAGGACGAGAGGGACAGACATATCCCCTCCCTCCACAAACCTGGCCCGAGGCATTTTGGGAAACATTCTAGTGGATAAAGGGACTGTTTAAGGTCCAGCAGCACAATAAAATCTATTTGGGAAAAGCCGTAAACATCCACAACCTTAAGAAGAAACATCAGTTGAGGCTCTGAGCAGAGGTACCAGCAGCCGGTGCGCTCCACCCGGATCCCAAGCTCTGAGCACCCCTGCTCTCTGGACTCGGTCTTCAAACTCTGCTGCCCTCGGGGTGCCCGGGAGGCTGTCAGTGAAGCATCTGACTTCGGCTCAGGTGATGATTTTGGGGTCCTGGGATTGAGCCCTCCTCAGGCTCCCCACTCAGCAGAGTCCGTTTACCCTCTCCCTCCGCCCCCTCCCTGCTTGTGCTCACTCTTTCTTTCTCAAATAAATAAACAAAATTTTTAAAAGGCAAAATAAATATAGTGACAATTCTGGGCAGGCATGAAAATTAACTACGGACGAGTGAGAAACTAATCCAGGCTGAAGGATTGGTCTAAGCTGAGAGCGCGTGACACTGTCATTAAGCACCGGGTTTATCTTTTGCGTGGGGTGTTTATTCTAAAGCACCAGCCGCACTAACCTACAAAGGAAAGTTTAGTTATTTAAGGACGTCTAATCTAATTAGCACCAATCTTCAAATGCTCAGGAAAAAGTCATTTCAAAGCTACACTGGATAAACTGGGCATTAAACAGCGCTCATTGTTGTGACTGTGGCCGTCCTCGTCCAAAGTGCTTCCGATTTTACAGAACCAGCGATAATCAGACATACAAGGACCGTGTCCTGTTACGGACCCGCTCACTTACACCAGAACTAACTTCTGAAACCTCCAGGCCCTCTCCTCGCCGTTGCGGGGAGGGGCGTCAAAGATGTAGGAGACCTGATGTCTGCCCCAACTTGCTCCAGGCCCCTTGGGAGGGACACAGGTAAGTAGGTGGTGGGAATGCAGTTGGGGACAAGCCTGGGGACAAGGGGGCCAGAGGACTGGGGGGACGTGCCTGACTGCCAGGAGCGGGACCCATGGAGAGCTTTCTAGAGCAGAGGCGGCCGCGCAAGCCTGGGAAAGACAACAGAGGTGGCTTGGGTGAGACGGGACTGGTCCTCGGGAAGGGCCTGTCCCTGAGGCGTGCTGGGAGAGGGCGCTGGCGGGTGGGAGGGCAGAGGCGGGCAGGGCAGGTGGGCGGGAGTGTGCCGGAGCTAGAGTGCCACGCTCCGAACCCAGACCTTTTCGGTCCCGCGCCGAGCCTTGAGGAGGCGCGAGGAACGGGACCGGGGCGCGATCCAGCGGCTGGCAGGTGCGGCTCAGGGGGCAGGGTCCTGAGCGTGTCCCGACGGCCAGCGCGCCCCAAGCCCCGCGTGAGTCATCCGGCTCTGATTCCGGATCGCCGAGCGAGACCGCTCCGGAGCTGGCAGGGACACGTCAGACGCCGCCGGCCAGGCCCGTCCTCTGGGGCCCGAACGCGGTTTGCCGACAAACACGATCGTTAGTTCCCGCTCCCCATCCCCACACAGAAGCTCCGTTCCCTTCGTCCCGCACCCCAGCCCGCGTCCTGCTTGCTGCAGTGGAAATTCTCGGGATAAGCCGATTCAAAATAAAACAATCAGCACGTTCTTTTCTTTCTCTCTCTCTTTCTTTGTTTTAGCCAAAGCAGAGGCAGCTTTTCCTAACAGATTAGTTTCACTTGTTAACTGACCAGTGACCGGGCCGTGGTCCTCGGGAAGGAAAAGGCCTCCGTCCGGGGCAGCTGCCCGGGGAGCGCCTCTGCTCTCCTCAGAGCCGAGAGCACGCTGTCCCTGGGTCACTTCAGACAGCGTCACCGGCGTCCCGACAGCCTCCGTAACACGGCACGGGTGACACTGGCTGACCTGGTTATGCTACTGACACAGGACGGCTCACGTCCGGCAGAGCAGAGCACATCGAAAACACAACACAAACCCACGTCTCGCGACAAGATGGTTCCAGAAGGGTTTCCTCCCCGGGGACTGGGGGAGTCTCCGCGTGAGGACAAGGCCCGCTCACTGCCGTCGCGCTGTTAGTGTCTAGGCGGCCTGCAAACGGCACGATGAGGAGGTCACCGGTCGCTGTCGTGACCTTGAGAGGAGAAGATCCTGAGCCTCCCAAGGGGGCCACTGCCAGGCAGGGACGGGCCCCGAGACCCTCCATGCTGAGCCGGGCCAGGCTCCCGTGGGGGCTACGACTCTCTTCCTACCCGACCCGGCAAGGTCAGGGGTTAGAGGTCATGGAGGGCAATCGGTCTGGCTGGGGCTTGTGGAGGGAGGGGAGTCGGTGTCTGCTAATCAGGGGCCTGATGGGGCCGCTCTGCTGACCTCCCCCATCCTGTCGCAGGGCAGCGCTGGCTCGTGACAGGCGGAGAGCCAGCGGCCCTGCTAGGGCTCCTGTGACGCGCTCTCTGGTGAGTCCCCTGTCCTCCAGCTGGTGCCGATGGAACCAAGGAAGCCTGGGGTCTGCGGAGTCACAAATCCTGCATGACTTGGGGTGTCCTAAAGTTTTGTGTGTTCTCCGCCATTTGGGGCAGTGAATATACTATTAGTTTCTGTGTCTATTTCAGCAAATAAATAAATAAATAAATAAGAAGTAATTGGGAAGTCACACGTAACGTTGGGTTTTGAGGGACGCCCGACGCCTTCTGGCCGGGAGGACGTTCCCAGGCTCATACCTGATCCTCACGGTCCCGGAGGCGGACCGGGTTTCCTGGGAGCCCGTGCAGTACACGGTCCTGACGGTGCCATCGGGGTATTCCCGCTGCGTGAACCCGGCCGTCTGGATCTCCCTCTGCCCGTTGTTGAACACGATGGTCCTGTCGCCATTCCTGGGAGGGGAGAGCGAGCTGCTGAGGGAGCCAGCACGGTGGCGGGGACCGGGGTGTGGGAGAAGGACAGGGCGGTGCACCTGCTCCCGCACTCCGGGGCTGGAAGCTTGACCTGCGGGGACGGGGGAGGGGCTGCAAGGCAGTGAGGGGACCACAAAGTACAATACTCCGGAGAAGAGGTACAGAGCTCACGCAGACTGCGCCGTGGGGACACCTGGAAGTCCACCCCGACGTCCAGGAGGGCCTGTGGGGCCTCGGGCGGCTGGCTGGCTGGCACAGCCTCAGCCTCTCCCCGCGCACACAGGGTGTTGGAAGGTAGCGGGCTCTGGGAGCGCCTCCTCGGGGTGTCTCCCGCGGCTGCTCCCGTGGGCCTGCTCACACCCAGGCTCCCATCAACACGAGCCGACCGGGCGTTCGCCGAAAGCCTCGAATACTTTCAGGTGCAGCGCGAGCCTGACCACGGTCAGCGAGGAGAAGGCAAGTCATGGTCATAGACAACACCGCAGGGTCAGTGACAGCATCTTCCATCATCCCGTTGACACAGACACCTACTCTTTTACCAAAGTTAACCTGAAGAAATGGTTGCCCGCACGCACCTGTCATCCTGTCATCGTACTGACCTTTCCACAGTGACGACTGTCCCGTCCGGAAACACAGTCTCCTCACGGCCGCCGCTCAGACGTCTCACGGTCCCGTCCGGATGCACGATTTCCTTCGAGCCATCAGGGTGGTATTTTTCTGTGGAATACACGTCTTAGAAATGCAGCCCCTGCTCTCCGTGCTGTGTCTCTCGCGGCTCCCACGTGTCCCCCAGTGACCCACACCACAGAGCACTGGTATTCAAGACGCGGTTTTGTGTCCTGCTCCATCATTTTTTATGTGTAGTCGAGTGTCTTGCTCAGACCGAGCTCCCGCGTCTCCGTAGAAGACAAAATTTATGTTCTTCCAACTTTGCACAAATCTTTCCCTTGGCTGAAATGTTCTTTTCCTTCCGTGTGCTCTCCAGGTCCTTCGAGATGGAAGGTCATTTGTCCATCCCGCACCGGGCGACCTTGGGCTTCTGAATGCCTCTGACCTTCACTCTTACTGTTTTCACAGTGACCTGGGGCGTCAGACCAGATAACGTGGGGAAGACCCAGGCCTCCCTCCACGCGAGCCTCCAGAGGCGAAGCTGACTTTCAACCTTGTACAAGAGACAAACCCTGAGGGGCTCCCAGCTGGTTCAGTCGGTAGAGCATGCAACTCTGGATCCCAGGGGTGTGAGTTCGAGCCCCACGCCAGGAGTGGAGCTTACTTAAAATAAACAGAACCTTTAAATGCAATGAGGCTCTCTGTCCAATGCCGAGACCCTGCTCTATCCCATGTTCCTACAGGACCAAAGGCAGGTTATAATGCACACCCGTGGTATAAATCACTATTCGCATGTGATTGTCAACAAAAGAAAAGCTGTTAGACTTAATCGATTAGTTTCTGTTTTCTTTCTGAAAATATGCGTGTGCTTTTGTTTGAACTGTTAGCAGTTGCTGGCAGACAAGAGGAAACACCAAACAGACAGGAGAAAAACAAATCTTACAACTGAGGGAAAATTCCACCCATTGAAATATTTTTTAGCAAAAAACTGTGAAAGCTTGTTTTTCTGTGGTATATTGAGGGAATGCCCAGAAGGACCTGGGGGGGGGGGCTCTTCTTTGGAACGATTCTCCGGAGCCCCACGGACCCCACGGAGCTCACAGACCCCCAGTGCCACTCTGAGCCCAAGCCTGCTGGTCCGCATGAATCCTACAAGAACATGCGCGTGATACACAATTGCACACATCAGACGGCAGGAGTGGAAAATGAGGCCTTTGACCGCTCTCCTGAAATGTCCATCCCAGGGAGCAGGTCTGAGGGTACAGACGCATCTCCCAGGGCAGTGACGGGACTTGGAGTTTCTATGGAGAGAATGAAGCGGTGCACACGTGACCTCTTTGTGGACCAGCTGAGACTCGGGGGCTCCGAGGCTTGGGGACAGCGAGGAAACACAGGTCTACAAAGCGCCTCTCTCTCCAGGTGACCCGACCCCACATTGATGAGTCACTGACACAGTGTGTGGGAACTAGCACATGTCGCGCTCTATTGTTAAGAACTGGCGGAAGGTCACCGAAGGAGGCAACTGCTCTCGTGTCCACCTCTGCACGCACTTGCCAAGTCAGAGCCCAAAGGACAGGCTGTGAGGGTCCATCTGGGCATCAGCTGGAAAGAGCCTGTTTTGGGGCCCCTCATGCCCCTGATGACGGTCTGTTTAGCGATGACCTTGACTCTCGGCGTGCGGCAGGTCAGACCCTCTGACAACACCGCCACCGCCAAGTATGATGCCCGATAAAACAGCACTGGAGACCCGTGTTGATGCGCTCACACCCACGACAGAGGCCTGACCTTGCAGGGGCGGCCGAGAAGCAGACGGAGTGGACTACAGCCGTCCCACTGTCCGGGCTGCCCTCGCAGGGGCTCCACGGGGACTCAGAGCTCATCCCTGCTTCCAGATGACACGCTCACGTCATGCCCCCCGGACAGGGACGAGGCAGAAAACATGCATAGCAAGACAAGGGCGCCAGGGAAAGTGTCCCGTTCCGAGCTCTGCAGGAATCTGGGGAGAAGGGACACCCCAGTCCCAGGAACAAACCCAGAGGAGCCCGGGCTGGCAGCGCCTCTGGCAGAAGCAAGCCCAGATCTCTCCCAGTTGACAGACCCCGACAGGGACCCGGGACGCAGCACTCCCCACCCCACCCCCGCACAAGCCGGCAGCTGGGGCCACAGAAGTGGGGAGGGAGTGTCCCGCAGGGTTGGCACCAGCACGGGCTGGCCGCCAACGCCCCGAGTGTGACGTTGAAAACCAGAGAAGAGATGTTAGCACGAGTGACGGGCCGGCCCTGTTCTGCCGGGGAGACTGGGAGGCGATGGTGAGCAGCTCGCCCAGGAAGCAGCAAACCCAAGAAAACGTGGTGTGATGAGCGACGGGGAGTGGAGGGAGCAGCTGAGCCCCACACTCGTGACTGGAGGGACAGGGACGGTGCAGGAGGGTCATGCTGCGGTGGATGACGGCTGAGGGCGTTGCTGAACTCGGACGGGTGCCGGACGCGGCGGAGGGCACCCCGGTCCACCACGCCACAAAGGGCTTCTAGACTCGCTACGCCCATGAGTGCGCTGCGTGGAACGTGCTTGTAGGAGGGCATCGTGCCGTCTTCTAGGCTCGCCTTTCCCCAGGCCTCCTGCGACTGCGGGCGCCCTGCCTTTCAGAAGACGCGAGTCACTCACCCTGAGGCACACACCGTCCCCAGCACCGTGATGCGGTCCCATCTGCAGCCGCCCCGTCGCAACGGACCGCGAGATACAGCATCCCCCACGAGCAGCAAAAAGAAGAAAATTCACCCGCAAAGGAAGACATCGGGGGTGCCAGGCCTTCCCACCGATGCAACAGAGGACGCAGGAAATCCTCCCCGCGCTGAGAATGATTGCTTGTTGTGCTTTTGCTCGAAATTCTCCAGCAAGGGCCCTCCACGCAGAAGCCCGGGTCCCGCACACCCCGGCGCACCCCGCCGCCACCTCCCCTCCGCTGCGCGGCCCCAACTCCTCTCCCCTGCCACACTGGCCTCCGTGACTTTCCTCAGACATTTCCCTTGCTCCTCTCTCTCGAGTGCTCCTCCCTGGAAAGCACATAGCTCTCTCCCTCTCACGTCATCCTGCCTCTCCCGACAGATCACTTCCTCGGGGAGGGCCTCCCAGATCACCCTACAGAAAGAGGACCAGAAATACCAGACCCCGTCTCCATTGTCCACCTCTTCCTTTTCTCTGTAGCTTTTAATATGTGTTGATTTTTATTTACTTATTTTTACCTCTTTGTTTTCTGTCTCCCTCCCCTAAAACTTCACGGGTTGGGGACATCTTACAGTTTCGTTTACTGCCACACATCCCGTCTGAAAACAGCACCGGCCCAGGGTAGGCACGTGGAATTGTCCCTCGTGATAAATGATCACGCGTGAGCAAAGGTGCCATCAAGGACGGTTTCAGACGGAGCACAGCGAGCTGTGGTGCCATCGGGAGACCGTGCTCAGAGTCGTACCTGCACCAGAAGGTATACGAAGGCGCAGGGAGCCGGCAAGTGCAGTAAGCGGGAAAAACCCAAAGCCAACCTCCTCTGTACAAACAGTGACAATCGCGATGAATTAAAAAAGAAAACAACGAGGGAGAATGAAAATGCTGTCAGGAGCGTGTGGGAGGGCGTGAGAGGCGGCGCGGGGATCCTGGCCGCTCCCAGAGGACGGCAGAGCGACAGGCAAGCCGCCAGCTGGTGAAGCACCCCCTCCGCTTAAATAAAATTGTCTCGGGTTGTGTGTTTTCCGTTTGTGTGTTGCTGATAAGAACACACCTTCACACACAGCTTTGAAAATAGCAGAAGGAAACGAATGGGGAAGGGCAGACCAGGCAATCACCACCTGCCAGAGGCCCCGCGTGGGACCACGCATGAGGCCAGACCTAAGTGTGGGCGTCGCTGCCGACGATCAGGAGGGAGGAACGTTCCAGACAGACTGCGATAAATCCACGGTCAGCAAGACAGATTTCCACCACACTCTCATTATTTAGGAGCGTGTGCTGATTTTAACATTAGTAAGAGCATAGCGTATTTAAAGACGCATTTTTTTGTTTTTATTTATATTCCAGTTAGTTAATACACAGTGTAATATTAGTGTCCGGCGTACAATACAGGGACTCATCACTTCCGTGCATCACCGGTGCTCCTCACAGGTGCCCCCCTTCATCCCCATCCCCCGTCTCCCATCCCCGCCCTCCTTCCCTCTGTAACCATCAGTGTGTTCTCTGTAGTTAAGGGTCTGTTTCTTGGTTTGTCTCTTTTTCTTTTCCTTTTCTCATTTGTTTCGTTTCTTAAATTTCACGTATGTGAAATCATATGGCATCTGTCTTTCTCTGACTTTCTCACTTGGCATAATACCTTCTAGATCCATCCATGACATCGCAAGTGGCAATATTTCATTCCCTTTTATGGCTGATATTCCATCGTATATAAATACGCCGCATCCCTCTTATCCATTCATCTGTCAGTGGACCCTTGGGCTGCGAACACAGTTTGGCTATTGTAAATTATGTTGCTATAAACATAGGGGTGCCTGTATCGCTTTGAATGTGTCTTTTCATATTTTTTTGGCTAAATACCCAGTAGTGCAATTGCTGGGTCGTAGGGTAGCTCTATTTTTAACTTTTCGAGGAAACTCCACACTGTTTCCCGGATTGGCTGCACCAGCTTGCGTTCCCACCAACAGTGTAGGAGGCTCCCCTTTCTCTGCAACCTCGCCAGGACCTGTTGTTTCTTGTGTTTTTACTTTAGTCATTCAGAAGGTGTGAGGTGGTAGCTCACAGTGGTTCTGACGTCATTGCCCTGATGATGAGTGATGCTGGGCATCTTTTCTGGTGTCTTTTGGCCATTTGTATGTCTTCTTTGACAAAATGTCTATTCATGTCTTCTGCCCATTTTTTAACTGGATTTCTTGAATGTTCAGTTTTATCACTTCTTCATATATTTTGGATACTAGCCTTTATCAGATATGTCATTTGTAAATATCTTTTCCTGTTCTGTTAGTGGCCTTTTAGTTTTACCGATTGCTTCCTTCACTGCGCAGAAGCTGTTTATTTTGGTGAAGTCCCAGTAGTTTATTTTTGCTTTTCTTTCCCTTGCCTCAGGAGACAGATCTAGGAAGAAGTTGCTGTGGCCAGTCCCGGAGAGGTTACTTCTTGTGTTCTGCTCTAGGACTCTGATGGTTTCCTGTCTCACATGTAAGTCTTTCAGCTATTTTGAATTTATCTCTGTGTATAGTGCAAGGAAATGGCTCGGTTTCGTTCTTCTGCATGGGACTGTCCAGCTCTCCCAACACCCTTTGTCAACGAGACCGTCTCTTCCCACTGGACATTCCTCTTAGCTTTGATGAACATTGATCAACCACAGTGTTGTGGGTTTATTTCCAGATTTTCTACTCTTGAAAACACAACTTTTAAAAACCTTAATCTAAAGGCAATTATAGATGTAGACATGCTCTCAAGCACATATTAGACATTTGGGGGAGAATGACTATATTCTGGGCCTTAAAGGAAGACAAAAGATATCAAAGAAAGGGTAATAATATAAGCTATGGTTTGACACAACTTAGCTGAATTAAAATGAAAGCAAAAGGAGAGCTAAAACTCACCATACACTTGGAAATTATTTCAAGACACTTTCAAACGTAATTCATGAGCTACAAACTACAGGAAAATAATCAATCAATCAATCAATAATCAAACTACCAGAAATAATAAGAGACACTTAGAACTGCATTAGAAAAATAAATGCTAACACAATTTGAGGGATATAATGAAAAAGGCGCTCAGAGGGAATTTATAGCCTGGAATGTTTATATTAGGAAACAAACACCAGAAACGGAGGAGAACTTATGCCTCCCTTAAGGATCGTTTTTAAGATATTTATTTTAAGAGAGAGAGAGCTCAAGTGGGAGGGGCAGAGGGGGAGAGAATCTGAAGCAAATTCCACACTGAGCGCGGAGCCCAACGCGGGGCTCGATCTCACAACCCTGAGATTGCAACCTGAACCAAAACCAAGAGTCAGACACTTAATGGGCTGTGCCACCCAGGCGCCCCACTACCTGAAGGATTTAAGAAGAAAATGAAGTCAAACAAAACACATAATAAATATAAAGCCTGAATTTGTGAAAGAGATAAAACAAAGCTGTAGTACAACACATCAACAAAATCAGAAATCAGCAATTTGAGATAAATAATAACCACAAAGACCTCTGTAAAATTGGTCAAGGGAAAAGCTTTAGGAAGGAGAGAGAAGCCACAGCCACAACTGAAGCAGACGCGAGCACACACGTAACACGCTGAGTCCGATCGTGCGTGACTTCTGGGATCCTGAGGGACAGCGTTTCACTCGGGGCTCTGGAGCCAGACCGCGCAGGAAGCCAGTGCGTGAGTGTGGACAGGCCGCGTGCTCGCTGCTCTCAGCTCCCTCACTGCTAAGATGAGGACAGCGAGGGCACCTATGTCGCTGGATTCTTTGAAGTTTCCGTGTGTAGATGGAGAGTAGCTAGAAGCCCACCGGCCACGTAATGACCAACATGTAACTCAGAGCTAGTCTTACGGTTCTTAGTACTAAATCATTAGGGCTGTGGCTTTCATTAGCTGGAAACTTCGAGGGACCTTTCTCACTCCCCAACAACTAGACCTCAGCTGTGAGACACACTGGAAAATGTACCAAACGTCCAGGGACCACCTCCCAAAATGAACAAAAGGAGAAATGAGCAGATGATGGCGGCGAGCCTGAGAAGCATGGGAAGGAGGGGGTGGGCCGGGGAGGCCCCGAGTTCTGTAGGTGAGAAAGAAGTTGATGTAGAAGGACATGGGCTGGGAGTTCCAGAAGAAGAAAGGAGAATGCAGAGGAATGGCAATATCCCCAAAGGTCACAGCTATGAACCTTCTAGAGTGGACGAGGAAACGTAAATCTGTAGGTATAAGAAGCAGAACGAATTCCAAGCAGAATAAATAGAAATCCTAGGGCTATGTTATGGGTGGAACTGTGTTCCTGCAAAACTCCTGTGTGCATGTCCTAACCCTCACGGCCTCAGAATGCGGCCTCACCCGGAAAGAGCATCTTTGCAGTCATAGTGAGTTAGGATGGGGTCCCACTAGCGTCGGGTGGGCCCTGATCGCACAGGGCTGGAACGCGCACAGACACACGAAGGGTGAAGGGGCCTGGAGGTGCGCAGCTTACCCTCCAGGGGCCAGGAAACAGGATGAGATCCACAGGCACATGCACACATGCGGGCAGAGAGAATGCTAAAGCAAATACGGCAAAAAGTTAAAAATTAGTGAATCTGGGTAAAGGGCACACAGAAGTTCTCTGTATATCCTGGAAGTTTGAAATTACATTAAAATAAATGATAATCATTTTAATTCAGAGCAAAGAAAAAATAACGGATCATACCGGCACAGCTAAAGTCTGCGTTAAAGGACAGACCCCGAACGCGACGCCCTCAGTGAGAGAGTGTGTCTTGCCTCCAGCTCACGCAGGAGCAGGGCACTGAACACGCGGACGCTGAAGAGAGGCAGGACCCGTGCAGACCGTGTGTCCGAGTGTGGTGCACACACCTGTCACCGACAGGCGGAAGTTAAACAACAGACTTGAAACAGACGGGGAAGGGATAGACTGACGGCTGGTATCACACCAGCAGGACAGAGGGGGTTGTCGCGCCCGTGGGGCATGGTGACCCACTGCCGTACCACCCCCCACAAAACAGGATGCTCCTTTGGCCCCGGGAGGCTGGGGGTTCGCAGGAAGCACCCACCATGCTTGACACAGCCGACCTGGGTGGGTTAGTTCCACTTCCTTCGGAGAGAAAGGACAAGCACCTGGGCACGATAAAAGGAGACTCGGTGCGAACGGAGGTCATCTGCATGCTGGTGGGTTAGCAGGATGGCTAATGTCGAAAGTGGTTTTGACTCTGTGGATTACAGACTCGGAGAACTCAGACCCCCCCCCCTCACGTGGGGAGGTCTTGATTTTGTAAAATTTCAGCTTGCTTGGTTTGAAAAGCAAGCTGGATGGACCCACCCATCCCAAACAAATCCATCAAGAGCGGAGATACTGTAGCCCCTGACGGGTAGGAAACGTGCTTGTGGTTTGAAGACCTGAGAGCGAAGCTCGAGCCGTCGGAATGAGAGCAAGAGCCCCAGCTCCTGTGCGGGAACAGGGAAGCTGATCTCTGAGCAGAGACAGCTGGTGGCTGTTCGCAAACTTGACCCTCGTCCTGGCCACTGCGGGGGGCGCTGGAATTTCACCCTCTTTCCAGACGTGCCTGTTGGGCCAAAGGCTATTTCGTAACCATTTGCAGGGTCAGGAAATGTAGCAATGCTGCGTAGGAAATGTGCCGTCAGCGTGCAATTCATTTTCAAATTGGCCCCAGATCAGGAAGTGACATTTTTTACCCCGTGCAGAGAGCCCGGATTTAACCATTCCTGCTGCTGGAAGCCAGGCAGGAAACAGCACAAAAACACAAAACCCAAAGGGCAGAGCAGCCAGGCAGAGAGCATCGGAGGCGAGGCGGGGAGCAGAGACAAGGCTGCAAGGAGTTTTTCACACGGCGCACTGGAGTCGGCAGATCTCATTGGTATTTGGGTAAATGTGCAAACTCACTTAGATTGGAAGCCCTCGGCCACCGCAGAGGCCGGAAGCAGAGGTTAGCGTTTGGGGTGCAGGCCTGGCGGCGAGGAAGGGGCTCTGGCAGGAGCTGAGCCTAGGACGGGAGCAGCGGGGACCCTGGAAGAAGCTCAGGATTAACCGGGTCAGGGACAAGCGTGGCCCGAAGAGTTCCAGTCTTATTCCAGCAAGATCTGAGCATTGTCACCCTCGCTCCGTGAGGACGACCTAGAAATTAACATCAGACTCAAATTCCGTGGCCGGTGTCCACACACGTGCCACGTGATACGTTTACACAGAGCATCCCGAGGCGGAGAATCCGTCCACGTCCACATAACCTTTGCTGAACTTTTAAAGACCCAAGTAAAAAAACAATCAGCCACAAAACCTCCTCGTTACTGAGATACTATATATTTTCCCAACAAGACGCCTAAGGAACATACTAATAGTCGGTCCATGAAAAAGCATTGTGTGCTGACCTACGTTTGCGAAACAGTGAGCGCTCCTGCCTCCCGTCCCTTCCCACGGCGCCCCCCCCCCACACACGATAACAAAGGATGAATGAGGACAGAAAGGAAAGGGTTAGCTTCCCCAAGTCCAGCGTTTTCCTAATCTGTTTGCTGGAACCCTTGCGTTGTGAGTGGCGGTGTTGGCAAGCGTTCTGAGCATAGTGTGGGAAATCTCAGTTTCCAGGGTCAGAGCTCCCCAGCCAGCGGCTAGGCCCGGGATCGGGGGTCGGGGGCGGGAACCCAGGCCCGCAGCACCCGCCGCACTGGCCAGCGCCATCAAGGCTACCACACTGCCAGGGGCGCCCCGGGCCCTGGAGCCAGTATGGGTGTCCACCCCCGTCTCAGCTCTCACAGCACCGCCTACAGGCCCCGGGTCCCTGACCAGTCCATGGGTCGGGGCTTTCCCATGTGATGTCCATGATGAAACTCAGACAAGATGTCAGGCGGCCTGGGGTCACTCAGCGAGCAGTCAAAGGTGCACTGGCTACGGCCCCCAGGTCAGCACCCTTGAAATGACCTACTCACGGGACCCCTGTTGGGTTGACTTTACACCCCCCATCAGCATCACTCCGGAGAAGAGAGCTGCGACAGCCTGACAGGTACATTCTGGCATGAAGGTTTTCCGTTTGTTCTACAATGACGGTTAGACTTCTTACAGTAGAAGAAGAAGAAAACCAAAGAGCGAAATCCAGACCAAATACTCATTTTCTCAGGGCTCCTGGGTGGTTCAGGCAGCTCAGCGGCTGCCTTCAGCTCAGGTCATGATCTCAGGGCCCTGGGTTCGAGTCCCGCCTCGGGCTCCTTGCTCAGGGGGAGTCTGCTTCTCCCTTTGCCTCTGCCCCTCCCCCCGCCTGTGCCCCCTCTCTCTGTCAAATAAATAAATAAAATCTTTCAAAAAATAAACTTAAAAAATACTCATTTTCTAGAACAGTCTTTCAACCTACTTTATAAATAAGACTTGTATAAAACCTATAGCCACTGTATAGTTAGACTAAATGACTGCATTTACTGATCACAACATGTTAAAACAAAACAAAACAAGCCACCTAACATCCTTCTGCGCGGCGAGCGTCCCTGGGGCTAATCTCTCTTGGAGAAGCGCTGCCTCCACCCTCTGTGTGCACAGCCCGCAGCCTGGAAGGCTTGTGGGGGGCAGCCCCGGCGAAGGCCAGCTTGGTGAGAAGGAGCCCCCAGCCGGGCCGTCTGGCACCGGCGGCTCTGGGAGGCCCTCAGCCCGTCACAGGGAGGCGGCCGGCTCCCTGCAGGAGGCCAGCCCGAGGACACAGGGTTTTGGAACCCTGGACGCTCGGCCCGGGGTCAGGGCTCTGTCTGTTTCAACCAGGAGGGAAGCAACTTGGGAAAAGGGAATGACGCGTCCTCTTTCACACACAGTGGTGGTGGCCACGGCGGACAAGGGAGACACCAGGAATACGACCTACCTTAATGGGCACTCTCTTAAAATTCACACTCAGATTCTGGTGGGGGTCGGGGGGACAGTGGTGACCCTGAGGAGGACATTGTGAGAGCGTGTCTTTTCAGTGGGGAACTTGCCCACGAGGTGCCCCATTTAGAGAGCCGGTCCTCCCAGAGCACAAGTCATTCGTGTGAGAGAAGAGGGACTCAGCACAATGAGAGATAAAATTAAACGGTTGGAAGCCAAATCACAAAGCCAAGAACCTCAGAGTTTAACCAGAACACGGAATTCTTAGAACTTGAGAGAGGACAGCTTCGGAGAGAAAGCCGCTGGAAAGCTGAGCGGCGCGCGTCCGGCCTCCTGCTCGTCGTGCCCCCTTCGGGGCAGACAGCGAGCGCACAAAGCGAGGACGGACTCTGCCGGCATCTCCTCGGGCATCTGGAGCGTTTGCAGCCCCCACCCCAGCACTGGGTCCCGGGCTACGTGATGCGAATCAGAAACGAGACTTGGGTCCTCACTCAGTTCCCCAAGCCCCGAGGTACCCGGACGGTCGCTGCTGGGGAGAACTGGCATGCCAGGCTCCGTCGTCCGGTAAAGCGAACGTTGCACGAGAAGCGCCGACGGCCGCCCGCGCTCAGCGGGCCCGAGATCCCGCGCCACTCACCTGTCTGCTCGGGGAACCGCACGACGGCCAGACCGCTCGGATGGGTCGTGCGCGAGATCCGAGCGTCTGCGAAACTGTAAACCTGGAACCAGAAAAACCCGCGTCGGGAGGCTGCTCGTGTTAACATCTTGAACCTGGCTTTGACCGAGTGAAGTACTTCCTGCCCCATCCACGGGAAGGTCCTGGGGCTTGCCACCACTCTGAGAGGTCACCTCCTCTGGGGCAGCCCTGCCCTTCCCCCCGGGCGGCCTCGTGGTCCCTGGGGAGACCTGCTGCTAACCCGGGCCCCGCGATTTCCTGATGGGCGCAGAGAGCGTGAGCCGGGAGCCCCACGACCACAGCCGCCCAGCTCCCGCCAGGCGCTCCAGGGAACACGGATGGGCCCCCAACGCGTTCAGACACCCACGGACCCTGCCTCTGGGACCGGTCACCGGATTGTGATATTTCAAATCGGTGTGACGCCTTTGGGTTCCAGCCAAGTGGAGAGGGAGGGCAGGAAAGAGCAGCCGCGGACGAGGAAGGTTACGGGGAAGGAAGTGCTGCTCTCGGCGCAGCTGAGTGCCCCAAACCATATGGGCGGGAGGAGACCCTAAACAGAAGAAGGGCAAGGAAACAAAAACCCATTTCATGCTAATGTTTTCAAAGTGAGACTCGGAAGGCAGACATTTCACTCAACTCCTAGTTCGGGGGGCCCGGCCCCGGTCGCCTCATGTGGGTCACCTGCAAGGACAATGTCCCCACCGTCAGGAAAGGAGGTGCAGTGCACTCGTGGGGAACGTGTCCGATGGAAGGAAACCATCTAGCCCCGTGCTGAGAGCCGAGGGCCTGGCCTGCCCTCCTGTTCCAGAGGCTTTCCTCCCATGTGCAGAATTTGTCCAAAAGTGAGACACGGGGAAAGTGCTGATTTCTCTGTCATTAGAGTGATTTTAGGTGCAACCCCAGGCCCGGGGCTCAGTTTTCCCTCGAGACCAAAGAGCCAGCAGTGGAGAAAAACACGGCCCACTCAGGCAGCAGGTGCCCCACCACGACACGCTTCTGCTCGCGGCCGGCACCGCGCCGGGACCGTGCCAGGACCGAGATGGGGAAGCTTTCCTTCCAAGGACGGCAGTGGGGCTCTGGCTAAGAGACAACTTTGGGAGACTCCGGGTTCCGAATTTAAAGTGTTGAAGTAGGCGATGAGTTCAGTGTCACGTATGACTCAACCACACGGGGACATAAACAGAGTCACCGTGTACCTGGGTCTTCTAGGCTCTCCGTGTTGGCGCTGCCTGGCGGACAAGCGGGCGTGGGGTTACCTCGGGCCAGTGACAGGGCGCACGGCTGGGATGCCACGGCTGCGACTGCACCAGGATTCTAACGGCCGCCCTCGCAAGTGGTCAGAGGCCTTTGGCTGGGTGGAATTACAGAGCAGGGAGCAGACGCCTCTCATTACAACCATTGAAACAGGAATGGAAACCGGAGATGAGCGCTGCGGTCATTCACAACTCCCCAGGCCCTGAACCTCCACATTTTCATCCCAAAACTTGGTGAAAAAACAAAACAAAACAAACATAAACAAACAACAATATTGATTATTCTAAAAAGACTTTTTAAACGAAACGAGTAAGTTTGTAAAGAATACAGTTTGGCGACGTCTCTGTACTACAGGCCTGTCATCCGTCTACTACAGCCTCCCTTTATCTCCAGGCTTTACTTACAACGAGCCTTTGTAAGTCAACCAAGTTTTCAGAATCACGGTAAGTCCTGAATTGTCCGGGTTGTTGCCTCTCCGGCAGTCTTGCCTGTAAATCCTCCACATTTTTCGGACTCTATCCCCCCCACAACCATACGACAGCGTAACAGCACATGGACATGCACGGTGTCCCAGGGTCACAGACGTATCGGGGCTCCCCAGCGTCGAGGGAGCCGCCGTCTACCTTCGCACCTGCTCGCCGTCATACCGTATCGTCTGACTTCACCCGCCCCCGCGGAGTCTCGCCACTCTCCGTTACCGCTCTCCCACCTCAGCATAAGGGGCAATTTGGGCAGATCGCTCCTGGTTGGGAGGGGCAGGTGGCGCACCCCGGCCTGCGCCCGCTAGATGACAGCAGCACCCACCCCTCCCCACCCCGCAGCTGGCTGTGACCCTCCCAAGTGCAGACACTGCAAATGGGCCGGGAGCAAAACCGTCCCCAGCCGAGAGTCACTAACCTACACAAGAGCTATTTCCAGGTTCTTCAGGCACAGAAACTGGGCTCGATGAGCTTAGTTCATCTGCCCCTGTGCGGGCACAGGGTCACTGGGAGTCCACTAAGTCCCGATCCCTGCAGCCCACGCTTCCTGCCTCCCCACACTGGTGGCGGCTGCGGGGAGACAGGCCTCCTGAACAGGACTGTGAGAGCCACAGACAGAGGAAAGGACGCCGCGTCTCCCCCAGTCTGAGCCATCGGGTCCCAGCTCGCACGAGGCACACTAATTGCTCTGTAACTGAGTGTTCACTGTGTGTCCCTAGAGAACGCGGAGGTGGGCCGCTTGTCCATGAGTGTCCGCACCGTCTCCGAGTTAGCTCCCAATCCTAGTCTCCCACTACAGAGGCGTCTCGAGGCTCACGGTCTCCAAGTGGCGGAGCGGGAATTCACGGCCAGCAGGTGCTAGCGCTTGCTCCCACCGGAACTCAGGGGCTCATCAATTAGGAATCTCATGGCCCAAGTGCATCCAAGCCGCCCAGCAGGCCAGAGGCCCTCGTTCTTGAGGCCCCAGGGGAAGAAGGGTGCAGATGGATGGAAACCTTCCTAATAATTGGTGGTCTTGATGAAAAAGAAAAGGCAGGAATGGATTCTGTACTCACCACCCTCTGATCTGGCGGGACCTTCTTCACGTCCCCATTTAAGAACCGCAGGACGGTGGTCTTCTGGCCGGCCCCCCTGTTCTTGCCAGTGCCCTTCGAGAAGGTGACGGCTTCATGGCCCTCGCCAAGTGCCTCAGCCACCTTCATGGAAACACAAAAGTTCCAGCACAAAAGATGACGTAAAGTGTGATTCTCACGGTTTCATTCTTCTCCCCCATCCAGAATCCTCGCGTGTCCACAGTACAGAGTTTATCTCCACAAGTACTAAGTCAGTCCGCCCCAAACCTCACCTCAGCCCTGAATCTCGTTGTGAAGGATGGAGGTTATGATTGGCCCCAAACCTCTGCTTCTCTTAAGCTCACGTGATGCGAGTTATCTGTCGTCTGTCTAGACCGTCCACGTCACTGAGTTTGCTGAATGTGGGAATCCTGAACCGTGTAAATGGCAGTCATTACTCTGTCAGAATTACTATTTGTACATTTTTCTTCCCTTTCCATCCCTTTGTTCTGATCCCTACGCCACTCCGCCTGACCCGAAGACTCAGGGATTTCGATTAACTGTCAGCAAAACGGCGCGTGAGTTCAGAGGCATAACGCTAACTAGGAGTTTTGAAAATAGTATTCATGTAACTATTAACAGAAAGGGGGGACGCTGACAGATGGAAGCTCAAGACCTGGAGGGCTGGCATCTGCACGTCTGGTAACATCTGCACGTCTGCTAACAAAGTCCGAACGGAGAAAGTGCCGTTATTAGTCACGTTGTGGCCTTGTCGTTCTCGACTGCAGCTTGGAATAAAGGAGCTGATTCGACTGGGGAAGGTGCAGGGGACGACAAGTGGAGTCTGGGCCTCTTGAAGCCTCGTCGGCGACACGTCGAGCAAAGGTCAACGGTGGACACCCCACCTGCCCGCGACGCCACAGCCATCGGCTTTGGGCGGGCACCAAGACCTCTTCGCCCTCGTTCCAAACCAACCGGCGAGGTGAAGCGAGTCTGTGTTCAACTCAGTCTTAGAAGATCGACTGCTCAACCCACAATGAAAACTCTGATGAGGTTTGAGGACACAATCGCGCCTCAGAAATGAGAAAGCACAAGTCATGTTTTAAACGTTCCACATTAGGGAAATGTTAAGTTTTTGTTTCCCTTATAAAAAAGGAAGGCAGGAGCGAGAGGCGAGCACACAGCAGCGCATGTGTCCAACGCAAGACACACACGGGGGCACCCAGGCCGGAGAGATGTGGGAGAGAGCATGGGGGTCACGGGGCTCAAGGGGCCAGCAGGTGCGTGAGGCTTTGAGGCGGGGGAACCGAGCCGCCTTCTGCACCCCCAGCCCTCGAGGGGTCCTACGGTCGAGGGAGCGAGTCACCCACGTTCTCGTCCAAGGAGTGGGTAAGCAGCGTCGCTTCCTTCTCATAGACCCCCTGGTGAGACGGGGAGGTAAGGTCTTCAAATCCCATGGTGTCCCCCTGAGAAACCAGTACGACAACCACACCAAGGAAAGAGCGTGTAGAGGGATTCAAGCTGTCCCACAAGCCGCACTCCCTCCTGTTCGTTTACGCGGATGTTTTCTCTGCTTATGAGCGCACGGGTCCCCCTTAGGTCAGCCAGAGCTCCCCGCAGGATGAGGACAATTCCACAGCCCAGTGGGAGCGGCTCAAAACAAAGGCTAGGGAGGGGCGCCGGGGTGGCACAGTCCCTTACACCCCGCGCTCGATTTCGGCTCAGGCCGTGATCGGAGGGATGTGAGATCAAACCTGACGTCAGGCTCCGTGCTGAGCGTGAAGCCTGCTTGGGATTTTCTCTCTGCCCCTCCCCCTCAAATCAATAAATCAATACATCTTTAAAATGTTGGCTATGGAGGAAGGCGCTGCTGCCGCTGTGTCCCGGGGGCATGGGAGACCCCAGGGGCAGTGACGGCAGCGTGCCCTTCCGCAGGCTTCCTGAGACAACCGTCATCCCGCGGATGCACCCTTCATAGTCAGGAGGGCTCCTCAAGGGCAAAAATGTGGAGGCCAAGACAGACCACAGAAATGTGGAGGCGATAAGGGGCAGGTCGGGTTTAAAACATGTTTTTCTCATTCGGACATTGTGTGGCTTTATTTACTGGAAACAATCCGGCAGCCAAGGACACTACATTTGTCCCCTCCGAGGGCTGCTTACCTGGCCCCTGGGCCCAAGCCCGTGGGCACCTGCACGGAGCCCCAGAGCCAATGACAGAGAAGCGCCCTCCCTCCCAGGGGACCAGGGCGTCTGCCTACCTCGCTGGCCGGGGACCTCATTCCTTTTTCTTGGTCCCCCTGTTCTGTCTGGGCGCCCACGTGGGAAGGCCCTGGCTCTCCAGGAGGGTTCTGCAGGAAGAGAACAGCCCTGGGCCCACGAGGTCTCCATGAGATCTGCGGCTCTGAGCGGGGGGAGCCGGGCACCCCGACATCCCGCAGCCCTGCCCACGAGGTCCGCGCTCAGCAGCAATGGCACAGCGGGCCACACGGTGTGCTCCTGCGACGGTTTCTGTCCCCGGCCTCCTCTCTAGGCAGACCTGGGCCAGGACACTCTGGGGACAACAGTGCGGCCTCACGAAGTCACGCATGGGTAGGGAGAGCACTCCAAGAGCCCGCGCGCTTGCGTTCTGAGGTGCTGAAGGGGTGCACCCTGGAGCCCCAACAGCCCAGTTCAAAATAAACAGCCCAGAGGAAGCCGCTACCGCTCGGCACCGCGCGGGGTCGGGACGGGCAGAACGGACGTGGGCTTTTCTTGGGAAGACACGAGAAAAATGGGACCCGTATTTTCATATTTTCCTACTGGTTGTCTGTGTTTATATCATAAATAAGCTTATATCTCACATTTCCTCCCATAAAGAAAATTATCTCATTTCTTTGACATTTGTCATTAAATATAACACATAATAAATGAACCGCTAGCTGGGGCTTAAAAGTATTTCTGCTGTGGGGCATGTCGGTGGCTCCATCGGTTAAGCGACTGCCCTTTGGCTCAGGTCATGATCCTGGGGTCCTGGGATCGAGTCCCGCATCGGGTTCCCTGCTTGGCGGGAAGCCTGCTTCCTCCCTCTCCCACTCTCCCTGCTTGTGTTCTCTCTCTCCCTGTCGCTGTCAAACAAATAAAATATTTTTTTAAAAAGGTATTTCTGCTATATGTGCCTTTGATGCTGTTAATTTTAATGAAAATTTATAAATAAAAATGATATAAAAGTTTGATTTGGGAACTCTTCAGTGATATACAAATATCAGTCTTGTTTTGACTTGGTGCTAAGTGCAACTCCAAAATCTAGGGGGGAAAATGACCAGTGTAAACTAAGTGTCACCTGTCTGTCCACAGACGCGGCTGGGCTCTCGGCAGAGGGCGTCCCCCAGGAAGGAGGCATTCCCCTTCCGTCCCGAAGGCTTCCAGAGAGAGTTTCGTCTCCATCGTCACATGACCTTGTCTCCCTGACTTGCTTCTTTCTGTCTCCATCATCCCTGGCTGGACACAGAGGTGGGGGCGCTCCCACATTCACAACAGTCACTCTACCCGAAAGTGTCAGCAGACGTGCCGTGCCGCGTGTGGCGAAGGCCAGGCCGGTGGAGCTCTGGTCTGACACCTCACATGGCAGAACTTTTGGGGTGGCCGTTTCTCATGCCGCAGCCCGTGCTCTCACAGGATTCTGGAAAGTTCTGATGGATCCCGCGGGAAAGGCTGACCATCACAGCAAAATAAATAGCTCAGAACTGAATTTGAAAATGTATAAGAATTTTTCTACCCTTTGCAGGATTCGAAAATTGGTGTCTTGAGACGTGGCTGAGCCAGGGAGGCTCTCACTCATGCATTCATTTACGAAGCGATGACACGGTGTGCAGGTCAATGACTCAGGGCGGGACGGGAACCGAAGACAAGGCTGCACCTCAGAGGACCCCAGACAGTCACGCGGTTTGTCCTGGGACTTCAGAATCTCTGCTCACCTGACCCAAAAAATAGCTCTTCCCACTCGCAATCAATGCTTGGGTGAGAGCAGATTCCAGACCCTCCTTCCAGGGGCGAAATGCCGTCTACTCAGCAGCTGTGTTGGGAAAGAATGTCAGGACATCAGGTCGTCTTGATGACTCGGGGGTCTCAGTCCACGGTAATCCTGTTACCCAAAGCTGGCTGAGGATAGAGAGGGGCTTCCGGAGTAGGAGGAAGAGGAAAAGCTGGGGTGGCCTCCAACTTGCTGGCTGACCACACTAAAGCAGAGGTCACCGGAGCAAGGAGAATGTCCTAGACATCAAACAGCATCCCACACTGAGCCCCAAAACAAAGCCATGTGGAAACAGTAGGACAAGCCATGGCACTGACCCCAGGAAACACCACAGCTTTAAAGCTAGGGGACACAGGAACCAAAGAACATGAAGAGATGTGCTACTAAAATCCCTGCCTTACCAAACTCAATGCCCAAACAAAAACATACACAAAAAAACCCAAAACCCAGTCAAGAAACGGGCAAAAGACATGAACAGACATTTCTCCAAAGAAAACACTCAAATGACCAACAGACACATGAAAAAATGCTCCACATCACTCAGCATCAGGGAAATACAAATCAAAACCACAACTAGACACCACCTCACACCCGTCAGAACAGCTAACATTAACCAGTCAGTAAACGACAGGTGTTAGCAAGGTTGCGGAGAAAAGGGAACCGTCCTACACTGTTGCTGGGAACGTAAGTTGGTACAACCGCTCTGGAAAACAACGTGGAGGTTCCTCAAGAAGTTAAAAATAGAGCTACCCTATGACCCAGCAATCACACTAGTGGGTATTTAAAGATACGGATGGGCACATGCACCCCAGTGTTTTTATCAGCAATGTCCACAAGAGCCAAACTATGGAAAGAGTTCAAACTTCCATCGCCAGATGAATGGATAAAGAAGATGCGGTATTTATATACAATGGAATACTATGCAGCCATCAGAAAGGATGAAATCTTGCCGTTTGCAACAATGTGGATGGAACTAGAGGGTATTATGCTGGCTGAAGTAAGTCAATCAGAGAACAACAAATACCATATGATTTATGGTGGAATTTAAGAAATAAAACAGATGAATATAGGGGAAGGGAAGGAAAAATAAGATAAAAATAGAGAGGGAGGGAAACCATAAAACACTCTTAGCTCTAGAGAACAAACTGAGGACTGCTGGAGGGGAGGTGGGGGGGGGAAGCCGTGACTGAGGGATGGGCGGGAAGGAGGGCATGTGGTGTGATGAGTTCTGGGTGTTGTATGCAACTGATGAGTCACTGAATTCTGTCCCTGAAGCTAATAAAACAATCCCTGCCTTAGGCATCATGAATAGAAAGAAGGCACACAGCCCTGGGTACGAGCTCTCACCTGTGCTCATCTCCCAGCCAGACTCTCTGTGCTGAGTGTGCTGAGGAGACCACCTGCCAGACTGGACCCCTAAGTTTGCAAAGCTGGATCCTTGAGTTTGCAAGGACTGGATCCCTGAGTTTGCAAGGACTGGACCCCTGAGTTTGCAAAGCCTGGATCCTCGAGTTTGCAAGGACTGGATCCCTGAGTTTGCAAGGACTGGATCCCTGAGTTTGCAAGGACTGGACCCCTGAGTTTGCAAAGCCTGGACCCCTGAGTTTGCAAGGACGGGACCCCTGAGTTTGCAAGGACTGGACCCCTGAGTTTGCAAAGCCTGGACCCCTGAGTTTGCAAGGACTGGATCCCTGAGTTTGCAAGGACTGGACCCCTGAGTTTGCAAGGACTGGATCCTCGAGTTTGCAAGGACTGGACCCCTGAGTTTGCAAAGCCTGGACCCCTGAGTTTGCAAAGCCTGGATCCTCGAGTTTGCAAGGACCGGATCCTCGAGTTTGCAAGGACTGGATCCCTGAGTTTGCAAAGCCTGGATCCCTGAGTTTGCAAAGCCTGGATCCTCGAGTTTGCAAGGACTGGATCCCTGCATTCATAAGGACAGGATAGTAAGGACTGCTCCTTCGGGGAGGCAGGATTTCTCAGGGACATGCTGGTGGGATATGTGAGTTTATGTGCTTGACCTCTGCTTTCCTTTAAAGGTCATGCACACTGAGGGTCTCCTGGGAAGAAAGGCCAGGTTTAGATGACTGTCCCTGTCCTATGACAATAGCACTATGACTTCTGTAGCCTGCATGTTTCAGTAACATCTCTTATCAGTTGACAGATATAACATTTTCTCAAAAGCAGATTGTGATACCTACAAGGAGGTTTATCACAAAGAAAAATCAGAGGAAATGTCCACATCTTCGAAGGTATAGTAACTATAAGACAAATTCAAAATTTAACCAGTCAACAACAATTGCAATGTGCTAGGAAGAAATAGGGATGCAAGGGGAGGGGTCTTGGGCTGGTTCCTCCCCCCGGCCTGTTGAAGGCGCTCACAAACACAGCATCCCCAACGCGGGCTCCTTCTCATGGCTGTTCACTGTTTCAAAATACCCCACGTTCCCAAAGGCCACAAAAGAAACGACACCCACATTTATGTCCTTGGATTATGTGTCTTCACCTGGGAAAGTGTTAAAGAAAGAAGGAAATGTGACCCTACTTTTAGCATTGTCTCACAACGCAGAATCTCAAGACTCGGTGTTCTGCAGCCAAGCCGGGACAGCAGGACGCTCAGCGGAGGGACGGGAGGACCCAGGTGGATGGGGGAGGCGACTGGAACTGCCTTTGGTCCCATTGCCAGAGCGGCTAACCCTCGGTCTTACTCTCGTGTGTCACTAGCCGTTCGAAACACTGTCCCTACAGTCGCTTCTGCTCGCCGAGGGGCCTGGGCCTCCCCGACGTGAGAGTACCTAGCCATCCCGTCCTCTTCAAGTCTGTGTGCCCTTTTCCGAGCCGATGCTGTCCTTATAAACCCCCCACCCTGTGACCAGAGCAGTTCGCAGAGTCAGCGGACGTTTCGAAATTCATCAGCACATGAGCTCCCATGAGTGTGATGTGCGAGCGTGTGTGTGTGCGTGCGTGCGTATGTGAAGCGTTGTCATAGCTGATGGTCCTGACTCCGAACTAGAGACCTGCCACTTCACACAGTAAGTGCAAATAAGAAATACGAGAACTTTCCCAAATTCACTAGAAAATAGCCCACGTAGGTTTCTCCAGGATTTACACGGTTTCTTGTGGACAGCTGTGCACAAGCCTGTGATGACCTAAGTTGCTCAGATGCACACTCAGGAACTAGGGGACGGATGCAGGGGTTGGGGGGTGCTGACCATGGCCTCTCCAGCACGTCCCCTCAGCCCCGAAGTCTGCCCCACAGTCGTCCTGCTGCTCGGTTCCTAAATACGGACTCTGGAGGTGGGGCAAGGCGGTGGGATCTCTCCCCACCCTGCTGTCTCAGTGCTGATGAGAGCACCCCTGGGGGACTGTGCATGGGCTCTGGCATCAGAGAGCGGGGCCCCAATTCCAAGCGCTCCAGGTCTGTCCCTGGGGTTAGCACCGGGGTCCCTGCTGTGCACAAACAGGCACGCACAGCACCTGCCTGGCCTGCACCCAGTCCTGGAGACACGCGGGAGGCTGCCCTAATGGGTCACCAGGTGCCTGCAGAGAGCCGGCAGCTCCGGAGCACCCGTGCTTGGTGGCCACCACCTACGGGAGTGCAGTGGGTTTGCAGACAGGAGGGCAGTGTCACTGCCAGCGCCACGGACATGTGTCCCCATTACTGTGATGCCACCTCTACGTAAAACAAGCACGCTTTCCATACCAGAGTGTCCAGCTTCCTCCTGGCGCCCAGGGCGGCATCTGCCTCCCACAGTGGCCGTGGGGTCGTCAGTCCATCCCGGAGCTCCATGTTCTGCTGCACGAGGGCATCTATCTGGCTCTGGAGGTGGCGCTGAGCTGCGGCCCACCGGGACTCCTGGCTCCTGAGGGCCTCGTGCAGCTGGGCCACCTGCTGCTGCAGCTGCTGGTTCTGGGGAGCACGGGGAGAGAGGGGAGCATGGGAGAGAGGGGCAGACGAGCTCTCAGGTGGCACTGCTCCAGCCAGCTCGCCAGCCCCTCCCGCAGCGCCCTCCAGCCCGTCCCCATGGGTCACCCGACATTTCCAGGAGAGGAACGGAGGACACAAGCACGACCCTGACACCGGGTCCACCTCTGCAAACGAGTGGCGCTCGTCGGGAGCTATTCCTCCTGATATAACCAGAAAAGATGGTTCCAGGGTCATTTTGTTTGCAAGCAGAGGCCGAGAGCCCACACTTCTCTCTTAATCTAATGCTGAGGTGGCAGCAGGCGAGGGGTAAGAGCAGGCATTCGACGTGATCCGGACCGAGGTTCTAATCCTGGCGTCACCACCGCCCGGCTGTGTGACCTCTGGTAAGACACTTCGCCTCTCTGGGCCTCCGTGTCTCCTCCGAAACAACGCCAGCAGGACCTCAGGGCGTTACTCTGAGAGGTGGGGCCTGGGCCGAATGGGGGCCCTGGACGATGGAAGACGCAGAGTGAGTGCTCGCCATTGTATCTCCCGTGCCCTCTGTAACATGCTGCCAGTTCCCAGGGGAGCACACGCGTCAGACGTTCCGGTAAGAGGGGAACTGAGTGTCAGACAAAAGCAGCGAGTCTTCGTACGTGAGAACCCACCGGGATGGCGGGTATCCCCCTGCCTACTGGGAAACGATTTAGCAGAGAACCTCAGAATAAAGAAAATGAGTTGATAAAACTCAAAAACAAACAGACAAACAGACAAACTAAACCAGGGCGCCTGGGGGGCTCAGTGGGTTAAGCCTCTGCCTTCAGCTCAGGTCATGATCCCATGGTCCTGGGATCAAGCCCCGCATCAGGCTCTCTGCTCAGCGGGGAGCCTGTTGCCCCTTTCCCTCTGCCTGCCTCTCCCCCCATTCGTAGTCTTGCTTTCTGTCAAATAAATAAATAAACAAATAAAATCTTTTTTAAAAGACTCAAGAAAAAAGTATTTTCCTCTCACAGAGATTATCTCTGAGAAATAATTAGAATCACATTGCAGGTTTATGATTAAAAATGAAAATAATACCATTTGAGAAGGAATTAGTGACTGTATCATTCTGTTTACTCTAGAAAGACTGGGAAAGAAATGCATTTTCATTTTAAATTAAATTCATCTCCTCCCCCAGGAATTAGCCTGACAATGCTGAATCTGTGGAAACTGGGAGGGCGCAAGGGACCTGGGAGGCACTTTGGTCACTTTCCCACCAGGAGTCTGCGCTCGGATTTGGCGAGGATGTGCAGGGGAGAGGCCCGCGGGGAGAGGGCGGTGAGTCCTCTCCAGCCCCAGACAGCACCACCAGGCCGTCGGTCCATGGGGGCTCCCCGCCGCCTGGTGTGGCCGGGCACTGGGGGCAGATCCCTGGCCCGGACCCACTGGGGGCGGATGGCTTCGGGCCAGGAACTTGGCTCGGACGCCCCCCGGGAAAGAGGCGAGGGCGTCCTGCACACCAGCCCCGTGAAAACACGGTCTACCCAGCTCCTGCTGCGTGGTCGACACTGGCGCCCGCTTCTCAAGGCCTCTTGTGTAATTCTGAAACCAGCCTTTGAGGGAAGTGACCTCCTCCCGGAGAACGGAGGCCCTGCAGGCCGGTCATCTGCCCGAGGTCACAGACTCATGGGCTGGGGACTGTAGATGCCCACAGAGAGGTCAAGCCCAGAGCTGGTGTTCCTCCCCGTGTCTCGGAAAATGTTTGTCACTCTGTGACGAGACGAACAGCCCGTTGGCTGTGCTCATTCTCGTTCTGTCTGTCATCGACAGGACCGACGCTGCCCAGTAAGGCCTCCCAAGGTCAAACAGAGCTGACCCTGGGCGAGGGATGGGAGGAGACAGGAGAAGGGACAGAGAGGGATCTGGGGCTCCGTGGTCACAGAGGGGCTGGAGGCACACCGTTGGCCAGGCGTCGGGGACAGCGGCGACCCCAGCTCAGGGCTCGGGGCCAAAACCGCCCCCTCCGGGAGGGGTTTCCAATTGGGCTGTGATGCTCGCAGTCATCACAGGACCCCTGCCCCACCCTTTCTGGTGGTCGTGGTCTGTGATTTGTGCACAGCCTGGATCTGAATCATATCTGAGGAGAACCTCAGACACGTCTCCTAACCCTCTGAGCCAGTGTTTCCAGCTGATCAGAAACTGTCCTCTGTCCCCGACCACATGGCATCGTAGGGTCACACAGCGCCCTCCCCGTGCACCCCTGCTGCGGTCGCCAAGACCGCGTTGGCACCGGTTCACGTGTCTGTGTTCCTGCAAGTCTCTGAGCGCATCACCTGCCCTGGGAAGTCAAACAGCCCGAGACGTAGGGCTGCACCCGCCTCTGCTGCTTTGGGACTGTGAGCAAGACGCCCCTTCTTTCTGCCGCTGACGTGGAGACGCAACAGCTCCCCAGACCCCTGAGGGTCCAAGGCGCTGGGGGCACCTTACACGCTCAGGGCAGGCCCGGCGCTCAGAAAACCCACTAACGACCTCTGCCCCTGCACCAAATACCTCCGAATTCCCAGAAACACAAGAAAAGCCTGTGTTGTGTTGAAGTGGATATTTTGTCAACTGCTCGGAAGTTAGCGGAACCTACGGGGTTCTAAACCCAGTGGACCTGCTTTCCGTGGGATGCTTCATCCGACACTGTGTGTGCAGCATGGATAGGGCTGTGATGGGAGGTAGGGTCGTGCGTGGTGTGGCCACAACCCCTGGACCTGTGGCGCCAAAGGAGGGGGACACGTGGGGGCTTTCGTGGAGGCCGGCTGGAGGGCAGCGGACCCTCCCCTCTGGGCACAGGGGAGGAGGCTGAGGGCGCTCTGGAGCTCCGACCGCAAGACTGAAGTCACCGGCACCTTCTAACTTTCTTTTAACCAAGTGCGTCCAGTCTTGCGCCTTGTCCTGAATTAGGGCAGTTGACTGAGACACCCAGGGGTCCTTACCCATCCTGCCTCTCATCTACCAAGACACAGAGCCACAGAAGGAGACCCGTTTGCCCCTCCCAGAGGGGACGATATCGACAGCCATGTCGAAGCATCGGGTCGGAGGAGGAAGCCCGGGGACCTCAGTGCCGGTCTCGGGGACGGGGACAGCAGCAGGTGAGACGCAGGGCATGCCCCGTCCCGTCCCCAGCAGGGCCACTCACCAGCGTCTGCTCAGCCAGGCCGTGCTCCCCGGAGCGCGTGGCCGTGTCCTCGGCGTGGGCCCCAGGCCCGCCATCCTCCCGCAGGCGGCCGGTCTCTGCGGGCTCTGAGGGCTCCTCCGCAGTCAGCATCCTGCACGGGAAGAAGGAGGCCGTGGGGAGCGGCCAGGGCCCCCCGCCCTCCACTGTGAGGTGAGCCCGAGTGACAGCCCTCTGTCCCTACGGTGACAAAACTGACCCCAGGGAAAAGCCATCTCTGTGTCAGGAGCCACAGACCGTGGGGCCCACACAGGCCACGGAGAGAAAACGCGTTAACTCCTAGGAAATGGGCCCCAGCACTGTGGCTGGTGTGGTCAGGGTCGTCTCCCTGGGAAACCTGGGGCTGGGCTCCTTCCCCGGCCCTGCTGAGCAGTCCCAACCCCAATTCTCTGAAAAACCCCACACAGATCCATGTCCCGTGCTGGAAATACCGCTTTCCCAATAATTCCGGGGCGGGAGCGGGGCCGCCGGGGAGGCCTGGCTCCCAGAGAGGCCGGGGCTGTGTCCCCTGCACTCCCGACAGCCCCTACCGCCCCCCCCCCCTCCGGACATCTGCAGACGCACCGATGCCCTTGCTCTCGCTCTCGCTCCAGCTTGGGACCCGGGGAGCGGCTCTGGGATGTTGGCTTCTCTGCGGCGCCGGGAGGCTCGCGGCCTTCCTCTTCCTCTTCCTCTGCACGTGAGGGGACGGGGTCTCCACCAAAACAAGGCTGAGTTCTGGCCCAGAAGCACATCAAAGACTTTCTGGCACAGGGACGAGTCTGGGGAGGGGGCGGACTTCGGAAGACGCCTCGGGTGGACCGACAGGTCCCCTGTGCAGGAGCAGGAGTGCGCCTGTCACAGACCACAGGCTCCGCGACACGAGGATGAGCCATGGGACCAGAGCGACGGGAGACAGGCCGGGCGAAAGCCTGTGTCTCTTGACCAAAGACCATCAAAGGTCCCGACAGGAACGATGAGTGAAAAGCCGGTGTTCCCGCCATCCCGGCGGCTTCCTGAAGCCTCACGGGGAAGTCGGCTTGACCTCGTCACCCCCGCGGCCCCGAACCAGGAGGCTCTTTGCCCCCATTTCTCTGACGTGGGGCATCCGGCCTGTCCTCAGTTCCTCCCTCATCAGCCACTTGTGCGGCCCCTGGTGGCAGTTCTGTCCCCCCAGTGTGCCCCCCGCATCTGGTTCTAACGGACTCCCTTCCTTAAAGGGGCGCTCTCCCCCCCGATCACCTGGAGGCCCAATGACTTCGGAGCTTTGGCACGTGCTCTGAACACCGCAAGCCCGTCACCCATGAGGGTCACCTCCCCACACAGGCGACCGGACGTGACAAATCCCCCTCCCAACCGACCAGAAAAGTGGGAGATACCAAGTTTTCAACGGACAATATACGGTAAGAACTTGTTTCTCTCTCTTTTTTTTAATTAATTTATTTATTTGACAGAGATCACGCGCAAGCAGAGAGAGGGAGGGAAACAGGGTCCCCGCTGAGCAGAGAGCCCGATGCGGGGCTCGATCCCAGGATCCTGAGGTCATGACCTGAGCCGAAGGCAGAGGCTTAACCCACTGAGCCACCCAGGCGCCCCTCGTTTCTCTTAACACACGTTCTTGAAGTCACACCAAATGCAAAACGCCTCTCTGTCTACATGAGCTGTCCACACGAGTTTGCCATAATGCACATGACGCGGAAGTAGGAGAATCGACGTTCGGTGCTACACAGGGAAGGAAGGACAGTGTTACCGTCCTTCCCCATCGATGGGCCTGTGCACAAAGTAGTCACACATCTGGGAAACCTACCCGTGCATGCTCCCTCACCGTGTAAGACCCTGGGACGCTCCAGCCACCGCTGGGCTGCAGGACAGGCTCCTGCTGTGACACACCATGCTGGGGCTGCTCCCCGGGGTCTGATAACCAGCCCTTGCTCTCCTGGACCAGCCTTTCTCAGCACCCAGTGCTCCGTGTGGTATTCAGGTTGTCCGTGCTAGAGCCCTGAGATCTCTAGGACCGCTGGCCCCGGAGAAAGGTCCCCTGCAGAGTAGCTCCTGCCAGCCACATGAAGTAGGACTCACAGAGGCGCTCCTGGAGTCCCGACACGCCCTCGCTTGGTGGTCCCAGACACCCCCGCAGCTCCGTACTTGCTGGGGAGCCCAGAGCTCGGCCATGCACACAGCCATGTCCACACAGCCTCCTCCCCCATCCTCTGTAGCCTCCAGCCACAGAGGCCTCTGTGGTACCCTCAAGGCTGTCCACCTAGGTTTCGGTCTATCTGCACCCACCATGGCATAGGTCTATTGACTTACAGGCAAAGTATGGGTGTCTTGAATGAATGGAGCTAATCTTTAGGGCCCCAAGTTACTCAAATACGAGATGGTCTAAAGCCTTGCCCATCTACATCTGATGCGGTGATGTGCCGTAGACTACGCCATCTCCAAACTCCTCCTCCTCCCAGTTCCAAGGCAGAGCACCCGGTAGCTTTTCTTCTTCACTTTCTGATTTCAGGTTAAGGATATGTGGTTTTGAAATAAGAATTTTTGATACTTGAATGAGGACGGTGTTTAATTCCTGGCCCACAGTAGACCCTATGTTCAAGGTCGTCAACGAAACAGTCAACTTAAGGCAGGGAATGATCGTGTCCTGCGCCTGCACACACGAGGCCGCCTCCTGAGAAGCCCAGGTGTGTGTGAGAGATTCGGGTGGGGTCTGGGGACAACGGAGGTGGGGGGCTGCCAGACGCAGGCATGTGTCCGTGGAGAGGAGCACTGATGCCCGACACGAAGCCACGTGGCTTTCTCTCTTCTAGACCCAATGTAATGAGTCTTCCGTGTGTGCTGTCTGACCTTCCGTGATTTCTCCTGGGAGAGTGGAAAGCCTTCCGCCTGGGTCACGTCACACTCTCCTTCAAATTCCTGAAGTATCATTTGCGCTTTGTCAACACAAATTGAACAAGCCTGTTAGAATTTCTAGGAACAAGAAAGAGAGTTTTATCTGAGCCCCAGTGAGGACAGCTGCCCAAGGTACCCCACCTTCGCAGAGATCAGAGAGCTCCAGGGAAGAACACTTAATACAGAGTTAGATGTGTTTTGGGTTTTTTTTGTTTTGTTTTTTTGTTTCTTTCTTTTCACCCAAAGAGTTAAAAATCTTCATGGTGAAGAACATTTCAGAAAGCTGCAGACTTTATCTTAAGCTTTTAGTATGTGCAGGCTGCCTGGCTCGAGTCTCATGGGAACTTGAAGAGGTTTTACTCTTATCTTTATATTTGAAATGTTTTTCTAATGTCATATTTCCACTAAACAGATGCACAATGTGTGCCCGGCGCAGAAACAGCCCACGCTTTGAGGTCTGGTCGAGTTGTTCTGACCTTGGGAAACGTTAAAGGACAGCCTCCCTGGGAGCCCAGGAGCAGGGCCACAGACATTAAAGCTGAAAATCTTTCTTTTATAAGTTTCTTCTATCAAAAAACACATTAATAAAAATCAATATGAGGGTTTGTGGTTAAAAAATAAAAGCTACAGAATCTAAATTAAATAGATGTAACTATATAATTTGCCCTTGATCCAGGGACTGGGAAAACCCAACGTGGGACTTGCTCCAAGGCCCTGGGGTCACCGTAGGGAGAGCTGTGATACCACGGGATGACGTAAGAGAACCAGCACCTCGTTGTCCATCCCCCCCAACCCCAGCCTGGAATGTACAAGAATTGTCCAATTTCTTACTGTATTTCCAAGCAAACTTTGAAGTAAGAAAAAAAAAACACAGCATAAACTAATAGGGAAGTGATTTGTGCCAATATTTGGGGGATGTTGGGAGCTGGGGCTTGAGCCAAAGCCCAGGTGACTGTCTTCAGAGCAGGTGCTGCTCCGCTCCATGTACAGGTGGAACCAAACACAGCCACCTGCCCTTGGGCCCCGCCCCGGAGCATGTCCTGCCACACTCAGTCTGTGCTGTGGGCTCTGCCCTGGAGCCTGTGGTGTGGACACACGGAGGGGCAGCCGGACTGCACAACACACAGCTGCCTTTCCCAACCTTCCCCGGCAAGCGCAGGCCACGGCGTGCCAACCGGACACTCGACGGGACAGTGTGAGGACCACCTAAGCACAATGTCCGGTGGGCACGCGTGCACACACACACATACACACACACACACACCATCAGTTTCTTTGTTGTTTTGTTTGTTTTTTTAAGACTTTATTTGACAGACAGAGATCACAAGCAGGCAGAGAGGCAGGCAGAGAGAGGAAGGGAAGCAGGATCCCCGCTGAGCAGAGAGCCCGATGCGGGGCTCGATCCCAGGACCCTGAGACCATGACCTGAGCCGAAGGCAGAGGCTCAACCCACTGAGCCACCCAGGCGCCCACCCCCCATCAGTTTCAAAAACCAGAGAGCGATGGAAAAACAGCCCTGAAACAGCGGTAAATAAACCTGACTTTCACCTCCTCTGCCACCCCATGACTTTGCCTGTCCCTGAATCTGCTTCTGTAAGTGTCGCCCTGACCAGCAGGGCACAGGCTGCCGGACTCCCGCTCTGGAGGTGAGGTCGGCTCTCCCTGGGGTTCGCTGAGGCTGTGATGTGCGCGGCCACTCCTCGGGGTCCGTACGTCTGTGTGCGTTTGGTTTTCCGTGGTTCAGTTCTAAAACAAAACTGCCGTGTTCTCACGTGGTCAAGTCACCAAGACAGTGTTGTGAGTCCTTCCACAGACACTTCGTCTGAAAAAGCCCAAAACGTACAAAACATCACAAGCGGCGTTCTTCTGAGAACCGTTTGAGGGTACGGGTTTTGTTTGATCGTTTTAAACCCCGTTTTGCCCAATGTCAGTGTCGCTTCCCCGGCTTTCTTCCGGCATGACAGGTGGACGTTTCTCCGTCCCCTCACTTCTTTTTTTAACTTATTTTATTTAAATTCAATTAATACATAGTGTATTCTTAGTTTCAAGGGTAGAATTTAGTGACGCATCAGCTGCATGCGACACCCAGCGCTCATTCCACCACGTGCCCTCCTGCATGCCCGACAGACCGTTCCCCCTGACCCCGGAACCCCCAGTTTGTTTCCTGCAGTTAAGAGTATCTCACCATTTGTCTCTCCTCACTCTCAATCTTTCAGTCTGGAGTGAGCCTCTTGAGGAAGCAAAAGGATTGGTCTTTGTGTGTGTCCGTGTGTGTCTGTGTGTGTCCGTGTGTGTCTGTGTGTGTCTGTGTCTTTGTGTGTGCATGTATGTGTCTGTGTGTGTGAGTGCGTGTCTGTCTGTGTGTGTGCATGTGTGTGTCTGTCTGTGTGTGTGTCTGTGTGTCTCTGTGTGCGTGTGTGTGTGTCTGTGTGTGTCTGTGTCTGTGTGTGTCTGTGCATGTGTCTGTGTTTTTAATCCTCTCTGTCACCTATATCCTTTGACCCGCTCAGAGTCCCACGGCTCAGGGAGCAGCCGGGGGTCCGATGTGGGGCAGACACGCCTGCAGGGAGCAGAGGCACCACAGGGAGGAACGGGGACGGGGTGAGGCAGAGCCGCGCGTCCCCAGCAGGAGCTCTTGGTCTTGGGCCGAATGTGTCTGCAGAGCTTCAGGGCTCTGGCTGGGATTTCAAGCTACTGTTGACCAGAAAGAAGCAAAGGAAAAATCCTCATACAAGGCGAACAGAACCCCTCAGGTGCCTCGCAAGTTTAGTCCATGTCTGTAATGACGAGCGTTGCAGATACGCACAAATGTGCTCTAAGTCTTCGTAAGACGAGCCTCACTGACCCGCTGTCCTGGTGGAACGGTTTCCAACTCCGTCACGTGCGAAATCTCTAACGGAACACGGCGTGTCCCCCGAGGGAGGAACTGAGCTGTGTTTCTGATATTGTGTCTATTTTATGTGAAAATATCTTAGGATTATAAAGATTATTTATATTTTATCTTTATTGTTAGAAAGATGATGATAAAGATCGAACACCAAATTAAAAATACT